CTCCTGGGGAAGCCAGAGGGTCCTGCACCCCAACTTCGCAGTCAGACGTGACTCTCAGCCAGCCAGTAAAACAGAAGGTTTATTAGACGACAGGAACATGGTCTAAAACAGAGCTTGCAGGTGCAGAGAACGGGACCCCTCAGCTGGGTCCATTCTGGGGGGCAGTGAGCCAGACAACCACGTCTGCACTTCACTCCATGTCCCAGCCAGCCCCAAACTGAAAACCCCCTCCAGCCCCTCCTCCTCTGGGCTTTGTTCCTTTCCCGGGCCAGGAGGTCACCTGATTCCTTTGTTCTCCAACCCTTTAGCTCTCACCTTGCAGGGGGGAAGGGCCCAGGCCATCAGTTGCCAGGAAACAGGGTGTCGGCCATTCTCTGTGTCCAGACTCCTGCACACACATGCCCTCTAGGGCTCTGCAATGATCATACACCCTTACCCCACCCCCTAGATACTTAAGAACTGCCTAGGGGAAACTGAGGCACCCCCACACTATTCAGAGGAAACATTAAGAACAGTCCCACTTCGTCACAGCCAGCCCTTCTCAAGGTCACCACCTCTTTGCCAGGGTCGAGCTGCAGACTCCTCCGCCCCTGAGACTGCTCACTGCAGTCCCCAGGGGGACCCCATTACTGCACAGTCCCTCTCACTGGTCACACACTCCCAGGGGTTAACCGCCCCCCGAAACCGCTCCTCTCTGAGCCTTCAGCAGGCCTGGTCCTCGGCAATCCCCCTTCGTGTTACTGCTCCCCAGTCACTTACTGCAGGAAGCTCCATCCACGGGGTGCAGTAGATCCCACCGCTGCCACCAGTTGTCCACGGAGTCCCTGGGCGATGCTCTGGAACTGCTCCCCATGAAGCCAGTCAGGACCCTGGGGCAGTCGCCTTTCTGTGAGCAGCCTGTCTGCAGGACACACAGCTCACACAGCTTCCACCTTCCTGGGTCTGACCTCGGAGCATTCAGCATCCTCTGCCCCTCCGTGCGCTTACCCCAGCGAGTCCGCTCAGGCGGGGCTCCTGGGGAAGCCAGAGGGTCCTGCACCCCAACTTCGCAGTCAGACGTGACTCTCAGCCAGCCAGTAAGACAGAAGGTTTATTAGACGACAGGAACATGGTCTAAAACAGAGCTTGCAGGCGCAGAGAACGGGACCCCTCAGCTGGGTCCATTTTGGGGGGCAGTGAGCCAGACAACCACGTCTGCACTTCACTCCATGTCCCAGCCAGCCCCAAACTGAAAAACCCCCTCCAGCCCCTCCTCCTCTGGGCTTTGTTCCTTTCCCGGGCCAGGTGGTCACCTGATTCCTTTGTTCTCCAACCCTTCAGCTCTCACCTTGCAGGGGGGGAAGGGCCCAGGCCATTAGTTGCCAGGAAACAGGGTGTCGGCCATTCTCTGTGTCCAGACTCCTGCACACACATGCCCTCTAGGGCTCTGCAATGATCATTCACCCTTACTCCACCCCCTAGATACTTAAGAACTGCCTAGGGGAAACTGAGGCACCCCCACACTATTCAGAGGAAACATTAAGAACAGTCCCACTTCGTCACACCCGTCCACGGCCCAGCGCTCCCCCTGCGACCCTACAATAACACCCCAGCCTGTCCACCGCCCAGCGCTCCCCTGCGACCCTACAATAACACCCCAGCCCGTCCACCGCCCAGCGCTCCCCAGCGACCCTACAATAACACCCCAGCCCGTCCACCGCCCAGCGCTCCCCTGCGACCCTACAATAACACCCCAGCCCGTCCACCGCCCAGCGCTCCCCTGCGACCCTACAATAACACCCCAGCCCGTCCACCGCCCAGCACTCCCCAGCGACCCTACAGTAACACCCCAGCCCGTCCACCGCCCAGCGCTCCCCAGCGACCCTACAATAACACCCCAGCCCGTCCACCGCCCAGCGCTCCCCTGCGACCCTACAATAACACCCCAGCCCGTCCACGGCCCAGCGCTCCCCTGCGACCCTACAATAACACCCCAGCCCGTCCACCGCCCAGCGCTCCCCTGCGACCCTACAATAACACCCAGCCCGTCCACCGCCCAGGGCTCCCCAGCGACTCTACAATAACACCCCAGCCCGTCCACCGCCCAGCGCTCCCCAGCGATCCTACAATAACACCCCAGCCTGTCCACCGCCCAGCGCTCCCCAGCGACCCTACAATAACACCCCAGCCCGTCCACGGCCCAGCGCTCCCCAGCGACCCTACAATAACACCCCAGCCCGTCCACCGCCCAGCGCTCCCCTGCGACCCTACAATAACACCCCAGCCCGTCCACCGCCCAGCGCTCCCCTGCGACCCTACAATAACACCCCAGCCCGTCCACGGCCCAGCGCTCCCCAGCGACCCTACAATAACACCCCAGCCCGTCCACGGCCCAGCGCTCCCCTGCGACCCTACAATAACACCCCAGCCCGTCCACGGCCCAGCGCTCCCCAGCGACCCTACAATAACACCCCAGCCCGTCCACCGCCCAGCGCTCCCCAGCGACCCTACAATAACACCCCAGCCCGTCCACGGCCCAGCGCTCCCCTGCGACCCTACAATAACACCCCAGCCCGTCCACCGCCCAGCGCTCCCCTGCGACCCTACAGTAACACCCCAGCCCGTCCACCGCCCAGCGCTCCCCAGCGACCCTACAATAACACCCCAGCCCGTCCACCGCCCAGCGCTCCCTGCGACCCTACAATAACACCCCAGCCTGTCCACGGCCCAGCGCTCCCCCTGCGACCCTACAATAACACCCCAGCCCGTCCACCGCCCAGCGCTCCCCAGCGACCCTACAATAACATCCCAGCCCGTCCACCGCCCAGCGCTCCCCAGCGACCCTACAATAACACCCCAGCCTGTCCACGGCCCAGCGCTCCCCTGCGACCCTACAATAACACCCCAGCCCGTCCACCGCCCAGCGCTCCCCAGCGACCCTACAATAACACCCCAGCCCGTCCACGGCCCAGCGCTCCCCTGCGACCCTACAGTAACACCCCAGCCCGTCCACGGCCCAGCGCTCCCCAGCGACCCTACAATAACACCCCAGCCCGTCCACGGCCCAGCGCTCCCCTGCGACCCTACAATAACACCCCAGCCCGTCCACGGCCCAGCGCTCCCCTGCGACCCTACAGTAACACCCCAGCCCGTCCACCGCCCAGTGCTCCCCTGCGACCCTACAATAACACCCCCAGCCCGTCCACCGCCCAGCGCTCCCCAGCGACCCTACAATAACACCCCAGCCCGTCCACGGCCCAGCGCTCCCCCTGCGACCCTACAATAACACCCCAGCCCGTCCACCGCCCAGCGCTCCCCTGCGACCCTACAATAACACCCCAGCCCGTCCACGGCCCAGCACTCCCCTGCGACCCTACAATAACACCCCAGCCCGTCCACCGCCCAGCGCTCCCCAGCGACCCTACAATAACACCCCAGCCCGTCCACCGCCCAGCGCTCCCCAGCGACCCTACAATAACACCCCAGCCCGTCCACCGCCCAGCGCTCCCCTGCGACCCTACAATAACACCCCAGCCCGTCCACGGCCCAGCGCTCCCCTGCGACCCTACAATAACACCCAGCCCGTCCACCGCCCAGGGCTCCCCAGCGACTCTACAATAACACCCCAGCCCGTCCACCGCCCAGCGCTCCCCAGCGATCCTACAATAACACCCCAGCCCGTCCACCGCCCAGCGCTCCCCTGCGACCCTACAATAACACCCCAGCCCGTCCACCGCCCAGCGCTCCCCAGCGACCCTACAATAACACCCCAGCCCGTCCACGGCCCAGCGCTCCCCTGCGACCCTACAGTAACACCCCAGCCCGTCCACGGCCCAGCGCTCCCCTGCGACCCTACAGTAACACCCCAGCCCGTCCACCGCCCAGCGCTCCCCAGCGACCCTACAATAACACCCCAGCCCGTCCACCGCCCAGCGCTCCCCTGCGACCCTACAATAACACCCCAGCCCGTCCACCGCCCAGCGCTCCCCTGCGACCCTACAATAACACCCAGCCCGTCCACGGCCCAGCGCTCCCCTGCGACCCTACAATAACACCCCAGCCCGTCCACCGCCCAGCGCTCCCCTGCGACCCTACAATAACACCCCAGCCCGTCCACCGCCCAGCGCTCCCCAGCGACCCTACAATAACACCCCAGCCCGTCCACCGCCCAGCGAGGGGAAGGGGAATGGGGAGGGGAATGGGGAGGCGGGGCCCCAGAGTGGGCGTGGCTAGCGAGCTGGTGGAAGGGGCAGAGAGGGGAGGGGCTAATAGGAAAGAGGCCAGGGAGGGTGGGGCTACTGAAAGTGGGGAGGGACTATTGGGAGGGGCAGGCAGGGAGTGACCCCCCACACCCCATCTCCTTTGTTCACCCTGGGGCAGCCAGCCCCAGCCCCCTCTGTGGATTGAGTGGGGGGGAAACCCCCTCCGAATGCCCCCCCCACCCCCGCGGGGCCACGGTTGGGGCGTGGGGCCAGGCTGCAGCGATGGGTGGGCAGCGATGGGTGGGCAGCGCCCCCCCCCACAGGAAGGGGCAGGATGCTGACCGCTTTCGGTCCCGCTGCAGATTGGAGCCTTAGTTACCCGCCTAGTTTGCCTGTGTGTGAATCTGGCCCTACCGGGAGGTGGGGCACTCTCCCCATTGCCCCAGGGCAGTACTGGGGGGCCGTGCTGCAGGCAGCGGGGCGGGGGGCAGCAGGGGGCTCTCCCCTGGCAGTCAGGGCTGGCCCCATTGCCCCAGGGCGGTACTGGGGGGCCGTGCTGCAGGCAGCGGGGCAGGGGGCAGCAGGGGGCTCTGCCCGGGCAAACAGGGCTGGCCCCATTGCCCCAGGGCGGTGCTAGGGGCTGGGCTGGGAGCAGTGGTACCCCAGGCTGGAGGAGATGGAGGGGGCGTCACACACACGCACTGACCCGGGCACAGGGCCTGGTTCTGATCTTGCGGCCGGGGATCCCCCTCCCGCGCTGCCTCCGCTCCCCGACTCCCTCTGCCCTGATTGGCTCGGGGCTGGCAGCTGCGGGGACGGAGCTGAGCAGAGACAGACAAAGAGAGAAGTTGGCAAAGAGGCGTGTGCCCTGGGTAGGAACCTACAGCATGTGGGCGACTCTGGGCCCCTTGTCCCGCTGCCCTGCCACCTGCCACAGCCTGGGTCCCGCTTCCCCTGCCAGGATGCTGCTCCCTCTGCTGCTCCTCCCCTGGGCATGGGGGGCCCGGGCTGGTAAGTGGGGACCCCCCTCCCTGCCCTTTTTTCCTACTGGGGTGGATGTGGATGGTGTAATACTAAAACCAGGGTGGGGCAGCACCACGCTGGCCTAGTGTCCGTTGCTGTGGGTGAAGGATGGGGGAGGCGGGTTAGAGGTCTGCAGGGAGATCCTGGAGCCTGGGAGACTCATTAATCTCTCTCCCCATCCACTTTGTTCTCCACTTCTTTCCTGATGCCTCCCCCCAGCCTCCCCTTCTCTCCCCTCAGCACCTCTCACCCTCCGGCTGCTCCAGATCAATGTCTTCCACAACGCCAGCTCCGCGGACATGGAGGGGATGGCCCTGCTGGGCGACCTGGAGACCCACTCCATGGACTGCAGCACCTGCAAGATCCGCTTCCGGCAGCCCTGGGCCCAGCAGGGCCTGAAACCGAAGCAGTGGCAGGACCTGGAGCTGCTGCTCCATCGCTACCTGTCAGACTTCATCCGTCTGGTGAACAAAGTGGTTAAGGATCAAAGAGAGGGCTGTGAGTATGGAGCGGTCTGAGGGCGTCCCTCCCACTACCCGCCAGAGAGCTGAGAACTGACACACTCACCACAGCGACTGAGTGTATCCTGGCAGGGTGGATGGAGGGCAAAACAGTCAGTCCCTGGCCCTTAGGCTGACTGAAGCCAACATTCCCTAGAAGGGAAACACCCCGTGTCCCATTCTCCACCCCACCGAGCCAGTCCCCCAGCTCTGGGGCCAGATTGTAGCCTGCGCACCCTAGAGGGGAAAGGCCCCGTGTCCCAGCCCCTGACCCAGCTCGTGGCCACGTGTCCTACCGAAGGCCTTTGTGGAAGGAGCGTGTCGGCTGCTCACGGTGCCACCTGTCCTCCCTGAACGTTGAAAACTGACACCACTGCGAGCCACGAAACACCCAGCCCACGAGCAGGAAATGCAGAGCTAAGATAGTGCCTCCCCCCACAACCCGCGCTGCCCCGGGGCATGGGACAGACCCAGCTCCCTCTGCTCAGCTGCTCAGCCCAGGGTCTGTGCTGGAGCACTAAGGTCCCCCGGGGAGACTTTCTCTCAGGAACCCCTTAACCACCTGCCCCCAAATGAGCACCACAAAGTCCCCCCGGCACCTTGCTGGGGCAGAGCTAGGTGCGTTTCACGACAGCGGGAGAGCCGGCCTGCCCTCACAGCTCACAGGCGCAGGACCCTCTCGGTGACAGGGCGCGGACGGCTCCTCCCGGGGCTCGGAGGTTGCTTCCTCTCCCGCTGAGCGAGTGTCTGACTCGGGGGTGTCGCGGAGTGTGGGGGAGTCCAGGCCCTGCACCCCTCTTCCTGGGATCCACTGAGACTCTCAGCCAGCCAGTAAAACAGAAGGTTTATTGGACAACAGGAACACAGTCCACAACAGAGCTTGTGGGTACAACCAGGACCCCTCAATCACGTCCTTCTGGGGGAGCAGGGAGCTTAGACCCCAGCCCTGGGGTTCCCTGTGTTCCTCTCCCCAGCCTCCCAAACTGCCAACTAAACCCACCCAGCAGGTTCCCTGCTGCAGCCTCTGTTCACATTCCTGGGCAGAGGTGTTACCTCCCCCTCCCCCTCCTGGCTCAGGTGACAGGCTCTCAGGTCTCCCATCCCCAGGGCACATTCCCAGGTCAACACTCCCCCCTCCCTGCTGAGTCACTTCGTCACAGGGGGTCGCCCTGAGGTGCTGCTGAGGAAACAATCGCTCACAGAGGGGTGACCTCTCTGTGGGCACAGGTGCGCCACCGCTCCACACGCAGAACCACGGCCCGGGGACTTGCGTAACGTTGCGTTGGGAAGCCAAACCTGTCCTTGCTACCGGTGCGGAGCCCCGCTCCGGGGAGCCCAGGGATGTACGTTTATCGAGGCTCAGGGCCACAGTTTTCCTCTGAGCAGCACAAATAACTTCCAAAAAAGCTCTAGATTTGAAAAGCAGGTCACTTGGGCGGGGGTCTGTATCTCCCCCACCCCGTGACCAAGGGACCCCAGATGCCTCAGGCCCTGATGTCTCACAGCGATTCTCAACCTGATCTGTCTGGACCTTAGAGCACTTTGAAAAATCAGTTGTAAACAGAAACTGCAAGGTGCCCTGAACTCCAGCCAGGGCCGCCCCACCATCCTGCCGCCATCATGTGGCCAAACGTCTTCATATCACTTGACATTATGTCGTAACCCTGCCCCCCCCCATCTGTCTATTTCTGCCCCCCGACGGTGACCTCCAGACGCCCGTCCTCATCCCACCTGCCCTTCCTGTTCCAGACCCCTTCGTTACCCAGGTCTTCTTCAGCTGCGAGCTGCACCCCAACGGCACCTTGAGGAGAGTCTGTGATGCTGCGGTGGACGGCGAGGACTTCATCAGCTTCGACATGGACACAGGCAAATGGGTCACTCGGCAGGGGGACAAGCTGGGGATCTACGTCGAGTATCTTGTCAACCAGGATAAGAGCCTGTCCACCCTGTTCCCATTTCTTGAGAGAACAATGTGTGTCTATGGGCTCAATACCTTTGCCCAGTATGGGAAAGAGTCTCTGGAGAGGCAAGGTGAGGCTGGTCACCACTCCCTGCTCACTGAGAGGCAGTCACCTCTGGGGGCTGTTTATCTAGGGACCCCTGGCCTGGTGTACAAATGCAGCTATAGCTGGGGTGGAGCACCGTAGCCATTTCATAGCCGCACTGCACAGCCGTTTAGGACAGGAAGTGAAGGGGGATTCCCTCACCACTGGTAACTGCAGGGTCTGGCCAGGACAGCGGGGCCAACGCCTGACCCCGGGGGATGGAGCTGGGTTTGGCGAGTGAGTCCCTGAGGCTCAGACTGAATCGTCCCCTCTCCCCCGCCCCGTCTCTCTCCCCCTGTCTCAGAGCGGCCGGTCGCCGTGGTGTTTGCCCGAGCGCCTCCCCCAGCCGGGACCCCCGCGTCGTTACTGCTGGTTTGCCGGGTCACCGGTTTCTACCCCCGGCCCATCCGCGTGGCCTGGCTGCAGGACGGGGAGGAGGTGGGGCCGGGCGGGCGGCTGAGCTCCAGCGGGATCCTGCCCAACGCGGACCTGACCTACCAGCTGCGCAGCTCCCTGGCCGTGGAGCCGGGCGACGGGCACAGCTACGCCTGCCGGGTGGAGCACAGCAGCCTGGGGGGCCAGAGCCTGCTGATCCCCTGGGGTAGGGGCACGTCTCCAGGGGGGTGCGGTCGTGGTCTCTGGGGGCTTTTCCTGCACGTCCTGAGTGGGACAGGGTGGTTCCAGGCAACGGGACTGGGATGGAGGGAGGCAGAGGGGTGAGTGAGGGTTGTGGGGATGGACCAGGGGGAGCAGGATGGAGGAGCTGAGGGGGACGGGACAGGACTGGGATGGAGGGAGCAGGGTGAGGGCGGAGGGGAGCACGAATGGGGTGGGCGGAGAGATCTGTGTGGAGCCAGGAGGGGCAGGGCTGGGGAGGGCTTGGGGTGGTTGGGGAGAGAGTCAGGGGTCTGGAGGGGGTCGGACAGAGGGGAGAAGGACTGGAGCAGAGGGAGGCTGAGGGGGTGGGACTGTGGGGGGAGCAGGTGGGACTGCAGGGGAGGCTGAGGGAACAGGGTCCATATTCCTGTGTCCATTCCCAGTGGGTCAGGTGTGGGGGCAGCAGAGGGGACTGCGGGGGAGGCTGAGGTCAGGGGGGCTGAGGGCAGTGGGTCGGGTGGCTGGGGGGGGACTGCGGGAGAGGTGGAGGGACCAGGGCCCATACTCCTGTCCCCGTTCCCAGCATGGCACCCCCTGTTTTACAGGGCACAGCAGGGGCTGGGGCCCCGGCCTGGCCGTGGGCATCACCCTGGGGGCTCTGGCCGTAGCCGCCGTGGCCGTGGTGCTGTGGAGGAGCAGACGCAGGTGAGTCCTCTCCCTCTCGGGGGTGGGGGTGGGGTCTTTACACCCCCTAACCCATCCCCTCTGCTCTCTCCTTCCAGGGGCTACCAGGACGTTAGACCAGGGGAGTCCAGGGCCTGAGGGCGGCACCGGCCCAGGAGTGGGGATTGGCCCCTCTCCTGGGGACATGGACCTTGGGGCTGGATCCGTGCCCAGCTCCAGAGCTGAGGGCCCCGAGGGCTGATCTGGTTTGGCGTGCTGAGGGATCGGGGCCCGGGCTGTGGGGTTGGGATTTTCCTTCCTCTGTCATGTTCAGGGCACGTTGGACATTTGGGAGCTGTCACAGAACGGGAATTTTCTGAAACATTTTGGGTAACTGCTGTGTTTGCCACCGTTAGCCCTACGTGCTGCATGGTTAACTAGGCGGCAGGGAAGGTGGTTCTCTCTGCAGAGACCAGGGACCCGGGTGTGACAGACGCCAGCTGTGGGGCCTGTTAGTTGGCCGCACCATAGCGCAGACAGCCCTTGGTTAGCACAGAGAGCAGAGCTGCAGCCTGGTCAGCCCCAAGCCCACAGTCCTTTGACTCCTCCTTCGTCCCAGCTCAGGAGAGAGCCCCAGCTTCCAGCCCCCGCCCCCCACACACAACCTGGCCCCTCCTCAGCCCTTTGTTCCCCCGCTGGGCACACCCAGATGGCAGGGCAGCGCTCCCTTTGGGTGCACAAGTCTCTCTCAGTGCCCTTGCAGTAGTAGGATTTTATGGTTGTACTTTGTATAATTTAGAATGAAGGATAAAGAAGAATAATGTAGCATGTATTAAATGTGTTGATGTAGGATTTCACCATATCCTGCCAGCCACCCTTTCTGAAAGCAGGAAGGAATGGCCCAGTGGGCCATTGGTAGAGATGCATCGGCCAGAATCTTGTGTCTGAAGCTGATTTCAAGGCGGTGACAGACCTTTCGGGTCACCACTTCATTGTAGGTTTAGCATTTTGAAAGAAGTAACAGAATGGAATGATTGTTTTCTCCTGCATTGCAACTTGATGTTCCTGTTCAAATGCTCCGTGTAAATCAATCCTGTTTTGTGTGTGAATGAGGAATGTGTGTGTTAGAAGATAAGTGGATAAAGGACAAGATAAAGGATGAGAAAAACAATTTAAGAAAACAAGCACTCGTCAAACAACAACTGATTACAGCATGACTGTGCAGAACTCCTTGGTCCCAATGAAGGAAGATCACTATCTAACAGGCTGCCTTGCCATGAGACTTTGGGTTCGTCCTGCCAAGACTTTCCGGGAGCATCGTGTCATGACCGATGGAACCCGGCTCCTCCCTACCCATAATCAACCTAGCTGGCCACTAGATTGATCCGGACTCTGGACCGGTAACTGGCAGGACAGCGTGTGTGTGATTGAATGCATATGCTAATTGTTGTATCTCTAATAAACGAGGCATATTGCCTTTTCCCCTGAAAAAGATCCCGTGTGCTTCTTATAAGCAAAACATCCCACCCAGGGAGCTCACAGCATGAAGCAGGGTGCTGAGGGCTCCGAGGTTCGTGGTGAAGTCACATCACTTGCCCTAGTCAGAGAGTGAGACACTAAGTGGGTCTGGCGCCCTGAAGGGGCCCTCCCAGGGACTGTGGGTCCTCCCAGAGCACGGGACCTGTGGATCTGTGACAGGGCACCATGGGATCGCTGGGATCCAGGAGCCGCATGGAGCCGGCACTGGCCTGTGCCACTCAATAAACCCTTCAGGGAGGGACTGCCCAGTGGGCCCCACCGGGGGCTGTAGGAGCCAGGGCCTGGGTGTAGGGGTCAAACACGGCTACATACACCAAGGCAGTGGGCGCGGGTGGGGCATGGGAACCAGGAGGGTCCTGGCAGGGTGTCCAGGCTGAGCTGGGGTGCCCGGGAAGCAAGCGGGCTCCCCATGGGTCATAGGCCCAGCTACCCACCGGGAGCCCTGACAACACTACAGCCCGCGGGGCGCCGGGGGAGGCCGCTCCAGGTCGCTGGCTGGGCTGGGCTTAGAGCTCCTGGGGGCAGGGCCCCTCCAGAGCTGGGTGTGAGGGACCCGGGCTCTGGGGGTAGGTTCTGTGTTTTTGTTCTGCGTCTGGGCAGCACCGAGCCCAAGGGGGTCCTGGGCACGACCGTCTCCTCGACCCTGCGGTAATATAGCAATAATAATAGTCCTGGCTGGGGAGGGGAAGTGGATTCGAGCTGGGGAGGGGGGGCGGAGAGTTAGTCAGGACTCCTGGGTTCTATCAGCTCAGGGAGGGGGGTCTAGTGAGTTAGAGCAGGGGGCTGGGAGCCAGGACTCCCGGGTTCTATCCCAGCTCTGGGAGGAGAGTGGGGGCTAGTGGGTTAGAGCGGGGTGGGGCTGCATTGACTAGTCTGTTACCAGGTAGAACAGCAGCCCAGAGCCACACTGAGAGAAGATGGACAATTTCCTGGCCACACACATGCCGCTTCGGGCATGGCTACACAGCAGGATCTAGAGGGGTGCAGTCCGCCAGCAGCCCCGTGTGGGGCAAGGAATTGGAAGCAGGGCCATTACCCTCCTAGGGGTGCCAGCTCCGATCTGCTGTTAGTGAGCTGGGGGATGGAGTGGGAATTTTCTGTAATATTTTGTATGAATACTGTGAGTGCCTCAGTTTCCCCTCTATGCTGCATTGTTGCTAGGTGGGAGGAAAATGGCTGTTTACTCTTTGCAGAGGCCCAATGGCCCGCATAGACTTTCTGCCTCTCAGCAAGGGAGCTGCGCCCCATTCCCCTGGCCAAGAGCACGGCCTGAGGAGGGGCCAGGTGGGGGGTGAGCTCACCCGGGAACTAGAGACAAAGAGGGGACAGGGGACAAAGAGGCCCAGAGCGGGAGCCAAGGGGTCCACACAGCTTGGCTGGGGCTGGGAGACCCCCCAAAGGAACTCTGCTGTACCCCAGTTCTCTGTGCTGGCCTGAGGGCTTCCTATGCCGTGTGCTAGTCACCTAATAAACCCGCCTGCTTTGATAAGGCTGCCTGAGTCCCTGCACATGCTGGGGGGGCCATCGCCCCCTTTGGGGTACACATCTCTCGGAGGTGTCCAGCCCAGGAGGACTCGCTGAAGGACGCTCACAGTGTGAGGCCGGGGGGCTCACAGCTCCGAGGTTTGACCCAAGGGGGCAGGGAAGCCACGTGGCTCCCCCTGACGGCAAAGTGGGACCCGGGGGGTCGAGGGGGGGTCTGACAATCCAAACGGGTCCCCCAGACCCAGGTCCAAGCCTGGGCCAAGGCACCAAACCTAGGGAGCTGTCCCAGAGGGGTCCAGAGAGGAGACAACCCAGGAGCTCAGGGGCTGGCGTCTGAGCCTGGATCCCAGGGTTCAATTCCTGGCTCTGCCAGTGACTTCATGTGTGACCCTGGGCCAGTCCCTGAATTCTCTGGGCCTCCCTCCCCACCTGGGCCATGGAGACACTGGCTTGTCCTGAGGAAGGGGGGGGGGCGCGCAAATGCAGCAGAGGGGGGAGGGGCTCAGAGACTGGGAGGCCTGAAAAGCCCCTTATGGAAGTTGATGGTGGGACCATCTGGGAGGCTGAGCTGTGCCTGACCCATGGAGACTGAGCCCCCTGCTCTGGTGGGGTGCCTGGGGGTCAAGGCTCAGGCCCATGGAAGTGGGAGCTCAGATCTTTTCCCTGAGACGCCAGCCCTGAACCTTTCACTGAGATTAAATTTACAGAGACAAAGCCGAGTGATCCTGCCCCCCGCGCCCCCCCCAGCAGCAAGGGGTTTGGGGCAGAAGGCCAAGCAGATGGCGCAGCCCAGACACTTTGCTGTGTGTCCTGTTATGGGGCGGCTGGCCCCGCTCTCCAGCGTCATCCCAGCTGTTCTGGGGCAGGCGCCGGGCGAGTCCTGCAGCCCGACCCCAGAGCGTACGAGGGAGAAGTATGGAACCGAGCCCTGCCGGGCCCGGCTCTGCCTGGCGACGGGTGACGCTGCCCAGCCCCGATGCTGCCTGGCCCCTGGGTGCCCATCCCCAGAGCGATGGGCGTAGTCCCGGGGCTGGTGCTCGGAGCTGCCACCTCCACATGGCAGGAAGTCGCCAGAGGCCCCCTGAAAAGTCACTAGATGTCGCTATTTAAGCATTCAAAACGGCATCAAAAACGTCGCTAAACAAAATGTCCACAGAATTCAGCCGAGCATTAGCCAAGTGTCTGTGCCTGGGCCGGAGGACACCCTGCTGCTGAACAAGAAACCACCGCAACGCTGGGCACGCCCTGCGAGGGGTGTATTCCCTCGCCCCCGTTTCCCCGCAAAGAATCTCAGGCAGAAGCAAAGGTCCCTTTGCAGCTCACTGCTCTGGATGTTTGCTACCAGGCCAGCAGTCATTGGAGTGGTCTAGAAACGCGCAGATCCCATCTGATCCCTTCCCTCCCTCCAAACCTCCTTCCCCCCCAGACAGCCGAACCCCGGGCAGACAACACGCGCGCACCAGCCGACGGAGAGAATCGACGTCACGTTCAGAGACTGCCGAGCCAGCGCTCGCAGCAAAGCCCCTGGCGATCGCAGGCACGGTTTGGGGGGGTTGCTGGCTGGGAGCTGAGCCCTAGGACTTAGGGGAGGCGTGACCCGCCAGTGGGATTTGATCAGCACGAAGAATAACCGTTTTTATGGCTGGAGAGCCCAAACTGCCCCCTTGGGCGGCGCGGAGCGATTTCCACAGGAGCCCTTTCTCAAGGCAACATCTGCTCCGGGGGAGGCAGATTCACCCTGCCTGGGACAGCTCATCCCCTTGGCTGGGGCCAAGGGAATCTGGGCCACGCCGCCAGGGAGCAGAGCCCCGAAGGGAGGGCTGGAGGGGCAGCCAAATGCCAGGTTAAGAAATAGGGGGGACCCCAGCCCTGCCCCGTGTAACCAGGACAGCCAGAAACCCTTTGCCAGCCCCCTACCAGCTGAGAGACGCCCATGGAGCCTGTCAATGATAACAAAATACAGTCAGCTGCCCAGACGATCCGGCCAGAAAGGGAGTGCCCGGCATGGGAGTGTCCTCGGCCTGGGCAGGGGGAGCGCAGAAGCTAGTCACGGGGGCAGGCCCAGCAGAGACCCGGGACTCACCCAACTAGACAAGCCGGCTTCCCGCTCCTTGGAGGGGGATTTTGATCAGGAAACAGTTCAGTGGCCAAAGGCTCACAGATCTGTTGACAAAGGGCTTTTCCTGCCTCACCCTCGCCCAGGGAGTGGCGCCTGCCCTGCTCATCAGTGCTTTTCACGAAGCAGAAGATCCTAACTTGTCCCCCTACGGGCACTTGTGTCCTCCCCTCTTCCAGCCTCCCCTCGCCATTAGCTCTGGCTTTCCACCCCCCTCCCCACCCCAAGGAATAGAGGCTGAGCCCCACTTCCTTTGGCTCCCAGGAGCGGGAGTCACACCGAGCCCCGGCCGGCCAGCCCCAGAAGCCCGGGAATGGGTTTCCTTCCGAGGCCATGCCCGAGGGAGATGCAGTGACAGTGACTCGGTGTCCCACAGAGCCATGGACTTCATGACCACCACTGAGCTGCTCGGGAGTGATGTAGTGACGGGACAACTTGGCGACGCCTGCCTCTCACTATCCCTGTAATTGGCAGGGAAAGTCGCGAGATCTGTCCCGGGTCACTTGGACACCTCATTCCTCCCGAGAGAAACCCAAAAGCCACGAAATCTAGTGACAAAATCGTGAAGTTGGCAACAGGGTTTACAGAAGAGCCCAACACCCGAGGACGAATTTGGGGGAGATTCGCTCTGGAAAAGCAACATCTCCTCCGGGGCCAAGTGGGGGAAACCAAGCAGGGGGCTCCCCCTGCACAGTGAGGTCCCCCCGCCCCCAGAGCAGCCACACCCCACGTAGGGTCCCAAACACCAGTCAGCGATTTTCATCCACAACCAACCGGGGATGGTCACTGCATGTCACTGTTATCGTGAGACCAGCGTGAGGCAGCCCAGCACTGAGGAGCAACCCTACAATAACAACCCAGCCTGCCACAGCCCAGCGCTCCCCAGCGACCCTACAATAACATCTGTCACGGAGTCCCTGGGCGATGCTCTGGAACGGCTCCCCATGAAGCCAGTCAGGACTCTGGGGCAGTCGCCTTTCTGTGAGCAGCCTGTCTTCAGGACACACAGCTCACACAGCTTCCACCTTCCTGGGTCTGACCTCGGAGCATTCAGCCTCCTCTGCCCCTCCGTGCGCTTCCCACAGCGAGTCCATCCAGGCGGGGTCCTGGGGAAGCCAGAGGGTCCTGCACCCCAACTTCGCAGTCAGACGTGACTCTCAGCCAGCCAGTAAAACAGAAGGTTTATTAGACGACAGGAACATGGTCTAAAACAGAGCTTGCAGGTGCAGAGAACAGGACCCCTCAGCTGGGTCCATTTTGGGCGGCAGTGAGCCAGACAACCACGTCTGCACTTCACTCCATGTCCCAGCCAGCCCCAAACTGAAACTCCCTCCAGCCCCTCCTCCTCTGGGCTTTGTCCCTTTCCAGGGACCAGGAGGGCACCTGATTCCTCTGTTCTCCAACCCTTTAGCTCTCACCTGGGGGGAGGAAGGGCCCAGGCCATCAGTTGCCAGGAAACAGGGTGTCGGCCATTCTCTGTGTCCAGACCCCTGCACACACCTGCCCTCTAGGGCTCTGCAATGATCATACACCCTTACCCCACCACCTAGATACTTAAGAACTGCCTAGGGGAAACTGAGGCACCCCCCCACTATTCAGAGGAAACATTAAGAACAGTCCCACTTCGTCACAACATCCCAGCCTGTCCACCGCCCAGCGCTCCCCAGCGACCCTACAATAACACCCAGCCAGTCCACCGCCCAGCACTGTGGGAGGAGAATGAGGGGGCGGGGCCACAGCAAGGGAGGGGCTCATGAGCGGGAGGGGCTAACAGGAAAGAGGGCCAGGAGAAGGAGGAGCTATTAGGAGAAGGAGGGGCCACTGGGATAGTGGGGGAGGGGCAGCTTGCGTGGGGGGGCTCTGCCCTCCCCTTCACTCTATCTTGTCCCCCACCCCCGGGTCCTTTCCTCCATCTGGTCCAGCCCATCTGGCCCCCTGTGGGGTGACGGGGATGGACTCCCTCTCCCCCCCCTCAAATCTTCCCTCCCAGGTTCGGGGTGCAAGGGCTGAGGCTGCTGCTGTGGGCGGGGGGGGCCCTCAGCGGGGTGAGGAGCAGGATGTTGGCCTAGAATTTTAGGTCCCCCCACAAATTTGAGCCCTGGGTACCTGCCTAGTTTGGCTGAGGGTGAATTTGGCTCTGAGCTGGGGGTGCTTTCCCCTGGCAGCCAGGGCTGGCCCCATTGCCCCAGGGCGGTACTGGGGCGCGGGGCTGCAGGCAGCGGGGCAGGGGGCAGAAGGGGGCTCTGCCCGGGCAGACAGGGCTGGCCCCATTGCCCCAGAGCAGCGCTAAGGGCTGGGCTGGGAGCAATGGTACCCCAGGCTGGAGGAGATGGAGGGGGCGTCACACACACGCACTGACCCGGGGACAGGGCCTGGTTTTGATCTTGCTGCCGGGATCCCCCTCCCGCGCTGCCTCCGCTCCCCGACTCCCTCTGCCCTGATTGGCTCAGGGCTGGCAGCCGAGGGGACAGGTCTGAGCAGACAGAGACAGGGAGAAGTTGGCAGAGAGGCGTGTGCCCTGGGGCAGAACCGAGAGCATGTGGGCGACTCTGGGCCCCTCGTCCCGCTGCCCTGACGCCCGCCTGGGCCCGGATCCCCCTTCCCCTGCCAGGATGCTACTCCCTCTACTCCTCCCCTGGGCATGGGGGGCCCTGGCCGGTAAGTGGGGACCCCCCCCTGCCGTTTTTGTTACTGGGCTGGTGGGGATGGTGTAAAGCCGGGGCGGGGGGCAGCACCACCTGGGGCTAGTGAAGGAGGAGGGGGAGGCGGGTTAGTGTTCAGCAGGGAGATTCTGGAGCCCGGGAGACTCATTAATCTCCCTCCCCACCCGCTTTGTTCTCCACTTGTTTTCTCTTACCCCCACCCCTGCAGCCTTCCCTCCTGTCCCCCCAGGGTTTGTCACCTTCCGGGTGCTCCTAACCTCTCGATTCCACAACGCCAGCTCCGCGGACATGGAGCTGAAGGCCCTGCTGGGCGACCTGGAGACCCACTCCCTGGACTGCAACACCTGCCAGGTCCGCTTCCTGCAGCCCTGGGCCCAGCAGGGCCTGACCCCGAAGCAGTGGCAGGACCTGGAGCTGCTGATCCATCGCTCCCTGTCCGACTTCATCCTCACAGTGACCAGAATAGCTCAGCAGCAGGGAATGGGCTGTGAGTACGGAGCCAGCTGAGGGGATCCTTCCCCACACCTACTGGGTGTGTGTGTGTGTGTGTGTGCTGAGAACTGACACACTCAACACAGCCACTGAGTGTGTCGGCGGGGTAAAGACAGCCAGTCCCTGGCCCTTAGGCAGATTGGAGCTGGTGGCCCCCAGAGGGGAAAGGCCCCGCGTCCCACTCCCTGAGCCGAGGCTCCTGGTCTTTCCTGACATGGAGCCTGACCCTTTGAAAGCAGGTCATGTGGGCGGGGGTCTGTATCTCAGGAACCCCATGACCAAGGGACCCCAAATTTGCACGACAGCCTCTGCCTCAGGCCCCGTTGTAACGCAGCGATTTTCGAGCCAATCAGGCTGCATGTGAGCCTCAGAGCACTTCAAACAATCAATTTTAAACAGAAATGGCAACGTACCCGTAACTCCAGCCAGGGCCGCCCCACAATCCTGCCGCCGTCTTGTGGCCAAACATCCTCATGGCACCTATCACGCACCTTTATTCCCCCGTCTCTCGATTTCTGCCCCCCCCGGGTAACCTCCAGACGCCCCTCCTCATCCCCCCTGCCCTTCCTGCTCCAGACCCCTTTGTTACCCAGGCCTCCCTCGGCTGCGAGCTGCACCCCAACGGCACCTCGAGGGGATTCTATGACGCTGCGGGGAACGGCGAGGGCGTCGTGAGCTTTGAGGTGGACGTGGGCACCTGGGTCGCTCGTTCAGAGGATAAGCTGGCGCTCCACGCCCGGGACCTTCTCAACTGGGATAAGAGCGCGTCCGCCAGGCTTCAGTTTTTTTTTAGAATAACTTGCATCTATCTGCTCAGGACGTTTGTCGTCTACGGGAAAGAGTCTCTGGAGAGGCAAGGTGAGGCTGGTCACCATTCCCTGCTCGCTGAGATGCAGCCACCTCTGGCGTCAAGTGCGGGGCCGTTTATCCAGGGACCCCTGGCCTGGTGTACAAATGCAGCTGTAGCTGGGGTGGAGCACCGTAGCCATTTCATAGTCGCACCGCACAGCTGTTTAGGACAGGAAGTGAAGGGGGATTCCCTCACCCCTGGTAACTGCAGGAGACAGAATTGGGGCCTGGCCAGGACAGCGGGGCCAACGCCTGACCCCGGAGGATGGAGCTGGGCTTGGCTAGTGAGTCCCTGAGGCTCAGACTGAATCGTCCCTCTCCCCCGCCCCGTCTCTCTCCCCCTGTCTCAGAGCGGCCGGTCGCCGTGGTGTTTGCCCGAGCGCCTCCCCCAGCCGGGACCCCCGCGCCGTTACTGCTGGTTTGCCGGGTCACCGGTTTCTACCCCCGGCCCGTCCGCGTGGCCTGGCTGCAGGACGGGGAGGAGGTGGGGCCGGGCGGGCGGCTGAGCTCCAGCGGGATCCTGCCCAACGCGGACCTGACCTACCAGCTGCGCAGCTCCCTGGCCGTGGAGCCGGGCGACGGGCACAGCTACGCCTGCCGGGTGGAGCACAGCAGCCTGGGGGGCCAGAACCTGCTGATCCCCTGGGGTAGGTGCACGTCTCCAGGGGGGTGCGGTCGTGGTCTCTGGGGGCTTTTCCTGCACGTCCTGAGTGGGACGGGGGTGGGTCCAGACAGCGGGATTGGGGCGCAGGGAGGTAGAAGGGAAGAGTGGGGGGATGGACCAGGGGGAAGAGGATGGAGGAGCTGAGGGGGACGGGGCAGGACTGGGGTGCGGGAGCAGGGTGGGGGCTGAAGGAAGCGCGAATGGGACAGGGTGGAGAGATCTGAGAGGAGTGGGCCTGTTCCCGCTGCGTCACCCCCTGTATTTTACAGAGCAGGGCAGGGGCTGGGGTCCTGGCCTGGCCGTGGGCATCACCCTGGGGGCTCTGGCCGTAGCCGCCGTGGCCGGGGTGCTGTGGAGGAGCAGTCGCAGGTGAGTCCTCTCCCTCTCAGGGGTAGGGGTGGGGCCTTTACACCCCCTAACCCATCCCCTCTGCTCTCTCCTTCCAGAGTCTACCAGGACGTTGGACCAGGGAGTCCAGTGCCTCAGGGGGCAGCACCGGCCCAGGCGTGGGCATTGGCCCGTCTCCTGAGGACATGGACCTTGGGGCTGGATCCATGCCTGGCTCCAGGGCTGAGGGCCCCGAGGGCAGGACTGGATCGGGGCCCTGGGAGATCGGGGCTCTGGGTGGGGGGTGGGATTCTTCTCCCTCTGGGACGTTCAGGGAGCGTTGGACATTTGGGGGCACCATGGGATCGCTGGGATCCAGGATCCGCAGAAAGCCGATGCTGGCCTGTGCCATCCAATAAACTTCTTCCAGGGTGGGGCTGTGACGAAGTGGGACTGTTCTTAATGTTTCCTCTGAATAGTGTGGGGGTGCCTCAGTTTCCCCTAGGCAGTTCTTAAGTATCTAGGGGTTGGGGTAAGGGTGTATGATCGTTGCAGAGCCCTAGAGGGCAGGTGTGGGCAGGGGTCTAGACACAGAGAATGGCCGACACTCTATTTCCTAGCCACTGTTGGCCTGGGCCCTTCCCCCCTGCCAGGTGAGAGCTAAAGGGTTGGAGAACAAAGGAATCCGGTGACCACCTGGCCCGGGAAAGGGACAAAGCCCAGAGGAGGAGGGGCTGGAGGGGGTTTCAGTTTGGGGCTGGCTGGGACATGGAGTGAAGGGCAGACGAGGTTGTCTGGCTCACTGTCCCCCAAAATGGACCCAGCTGAGGGGTCCTGTTCTCTGCACCTATAAGCTCTGTGTTAGACCTTGTTCCTGTCGTCTAATAAACCTTCTGTTTTACTGGCTGGCTGAGAGTCCCGTCTGACTGCGGAGTTGGGGGGCAGGACCCTTTGGCTTCCCCAGGAGCCCGCCTGGATGGACTCGCTGTGGGAAGCGCACGGAGGGGCAGAGGAGGCTGAATGCTCCGAGGTCAGACCCAGGAAGGTGGAAGCCGGGTGAGCTGTGTGTCCTGCAGACAGGCTGCTCCCAGAGAGGAGACTGCCCCAGAGTCCTGCCCGGCTTCATGGGGAGCAGTTCCAGAGCATTGCTCGGGGACTCCGTGACAGGGGCTGCCCAGCGGGTCCCACAAGGGGCTGTAGGAGCCAGGGCCTGGGTGCAAGGGTCAGACACGGCTACATACACAAAGGCGGTGGGCGCGGGTGGGGCATGAGAACCAGCAGGGTCCTGGCAGGGTGTCCAGGCTGGGCTGGGGTGCCCGGGAAGCCAGCGGGTTGCCCGTGGGACATAGGCCCAGCTACCCACAGGGAGCCCTGACAACACTACGGCCCGCGAAGTCGCTGGCTGGGCTGGGCTGAGAGCTCCCGGGGGCAGGGCCCTTCCCATAGCCTGAGTCAGCTGTCACAGGTCAGCTGCAGGTGTCTAATTGCAGTGTAGACATACCCTGCCGGACCAGGTTACGGTGTGTCTAGCACGGGGGGCCTGGGTTCCTCCAGCCCTCTGCCAAGGGGAGCCCAGGCCCAGATTCCCCGCAGCCCACCTGACCACACCCCCTGGCGCCACCGTTCCCACCCGGAGCCAGTCACCTGCCTTCAGGTAGATGAGGAGTCCCGGCGCCAGGAAGATCAGCCCCAGCACGAAGCCCCCGACCCCCGTCAGCATCGGGCTCATGGCAGAGTCAGGCTGCACCGCTGGGAAAACAGGAGCTTGGGGGGTTCAGTCTCAGCCCGGCCTCCCGTTCCCCTTCTCACGTCCCAGCTCTCTGCCCCAGGCCCATTCCCCCAGGGGTGCCCCTGCAGGCTCAGGGGCTGCCCCACACCCAGAGGCTCTTACCCCAGTGCACGGTGAGGGGGCCCCACAGGCTGATGTGCTCCACCTGGCAGGTGTAGACGTCCCCGCGCCGGGGGCTCATCTCCAGCATCACCAGGATCTGGAAGGTCCAGTCTCCGTTCTGGAGCAGCTCCGTGGACACCACCCCGGCCGTCTGCTCCTGCCCGTTCTTCAGCCACTTGATCTCGATCCCCCCAGGGTAAAACCCCGTCACCGAGCAAACCAGCAGGTCGGGATGGGGCTGGGACCCCAATTTCGTGGGGGAAACTTTCACCTTGGGCTCAACTGGGGGGTCAGGGAAGGGTGGGAAAGGGCCAGAGACAGAATGGGTCCTGCTCTCATCACTGTGGCACCCCCCCCCCCCATACCCTGGTGTGGAGACAGGGCCTACACGGGGGGCAGGAGCAGGAAGAGTTTGGTGACTCAAGAAGCTTGGCTCCCAGCCCCCCTGCTCTAACCCACTCACCCCAACTCCCCTCCCAGAGCTGGATAGGACCCAGGAGTCCTGGCTCCCAGCCCCCACTGCTGTAAGGTCTGAGGCCATTTTCTGCAGCCACATTAGCACAGCAGCAGCCATGAGTCAAGGAGCAGGAAGTCAGGTCCTCACATTCCTTCTGAATGATGTCAAAACAATGAACTGTCAGGCGGCTGAGAAGGCTCCCGTGCTACCATCACCACCGGCTACCGAAACAGATCTTAAGATGGTTCAAGAAAACGTTGTTTGATGGCATCTGCCTGGCAGGAACTCGCAGATCAATGCCTGTGGCTGTGAGTTCTCGGCCTCTTTCTTGCTGGGCCTGTAGGGTCCCCAGTTCCCTGCTGTTTATCTGCCTGGGCTCTGTCCGGTTCTGTAATTGTTCCTGTCTGCTGCATAACTAATTGGGCAAGGTTTCAATCAGCTGAGGCGGTGGGGTATGACGGGGTAAAGAGTGGTTTTGCAATACGTTAGGATTGGTCAAAGAATTATTTTGTAAGACTTTCGTATAAGGATCGGTTAAGGTCTAGCTCAGCAGGACTCAAGTTTCACTATAGAAACGGGTCAAAACTGGAAGTTCTTTGCAAGCAACTCCAGGACATGGCCCGAGATCAGAGCTGCCAGACCTCAACACCCTGCCCAGGGCCATTCCCTAGGGCGGTACAGGGCCTGGGACCCCCCCCCCCACCCCCGCCCCAGGGAGTGCCTCCACTCCACCCCTTCCCACCCCGCTCTGCCCTTCCCCCACTCCACCCCAATTCAATCAACACTGGTTCTCCACTGGGAAGGTAACTCCCTTCTCTTCATGTGTCAGTAAATTTATCCCTGCCTCAGTCATTTTCACTCCATGCATCTGAAGAAGGGGGTTTTTTACTCACGAAAGCTTCTGCCCAAAGAAATCTGCTCGTCTTTAAGGTGCCACCGGACTCCTGGTTATTCCAGAGACCGACTCAGAGGGCACTTACAGGATGGAGGCGGCCCAGTGTGACACAGCAAGGGTCTTCCTAGTAGCTGGAGGAAAGTATAAAAGAGGGACAGGGACATCACCACTTGGCCTCTCTCCCCCATCTCAACACCTGGAAGATCCTTTAGAAGACAAAGACTTTGACTGGGGAGACTGGTCCTAGGCGGAGAAGGAAATTCCCCCTGTGTAATAAGAACAGTAAAGTGCCTGAAACAGCCAGTTAGGTGAGAAACTGCTTGATTCAAATCTTGCTTAGTCTGTAGCATTTAGACTACAAGTTGGTTTTTATTTCTTATGTAACCAACTTTGATCCCTATCTCTACTTATAATCACTTGCAATCTAGCTTTCTGTGGTTAATAAATCAGTTTCATATTTTACCTAAACCAGTGCAGTTTTGGTGGAAGTGCTCAGGGAATCTCAGCTCAGGTTAACAAGGGGTGTCGCATATTCACTACCCTTTGTCGAAGTGGCGGACTAATTAACGATGTTGCACTGTCCAAGGGACCCTTGAGCCATGTCAGACGGTATAGTTCTGGGGTGCAAGGCTGGCGGGATTGGCTGGTGCCTCTCTGTGTGTGATGCATGAGTGGCTCGGGGAGCATTCATGCAATTTAGCTGGGTGTAGGGTGTAGGGCTCCATAGGCTGGGCACCTGGAGGGGTTTGCTGCTTATCACTGACCTAGCTTTGTGAGAGACAGCCCAGGCTGGAGCGTGAAGGGGGCCCAGTGGTCCCACAGTTCCAGGTTGTCCCCAGGGATGGCTTGATTACAGGCCGTTAAGTACCTACAGGGGGAACGGAAATTTGATACTGGTTCTCCTCAATGACAGGTTTCAGAGTAGCAGCCGTGTTAGTCTGTATTCGCAAAAAGAAAAGGAGTACTTGTGGCACCTTAGAGACTAACCAATTTATTTGAGCATGAGCTTTCGTGAGCTACAGCTCACTTCATCAGATGCATACCGTGGAAACGTGGAAACTCCTCAATGTGCCAGACAAAGGCATAACATGATCCAGTGGCTGGAAGTTGAAGATAGACAAATTCAGACTGGAGATAAGGTGTAAATGTTTAACAGGGGAAATAACCAGTGGAACAAGTTCCCCAGGGCTGTGGTGGATTCCCCACCCCAGCGATGTTTAACTCACGACTGGCTGTTTCTCCGAGATCTGCTCTAGGAATTATCGTGGGGCAGGTCTCTGGCCTCCACTGTACAGGGGGGTCAGACTAGATGGTCACAATGGTCCCTTCTGGCCTGGGGGTCTAGGAGCCCGAGAGGGGGGAAGCCCCTTCTGCGTCTAGGGCAGGAGCCAGAATTCAGGGACGGGGGCAGCACCGTCGTTCCCGGGACTGTCCACTGGGCGGCGCCCTCGCACCATCCGCCCAGGCCTCCCTCTGCCCAGGGTCTGTGCCCCGCGCCTGCAAGGCGGCTCTTGAGGGCCCCCGCGTGGCTCAGGCGGAGACAGCACCAAGGGGGTTAAATTAACCTAACCCGCCTGGCGTCTCCCCTGCTTCCCTTCACGTCCTGCCCTGTCTGGGCCTGACCCCGGGCCATGTGTCCCCTCCCCTCCCCACGGCACTCGGGGAAGGGGGCAGCCGAGCCCAGCTCTCCCTGGTGATGCTCCCCATGCTGCCTGGCCCTTTGGCTGGGGGTGCCCCCCCGGGGTGATGGGGCGCGGAGCTGGGCAGAGAAGTTCGCGGTCTGGGTGAGTCTCCCCGGGCCCTTCCCTTTGGAGCAGCCCTGGGGGCTGGCTGGGGCCCGGGGGCTGGGCCTCGGCTTGTGACGGTGCTGAGAACCCACCGGGCTCATTGCACAGAGCCGCAGCAGCTGCCGAGCAGACACTGGGATGTCCCCTCTGGGGAAGTGCCACAGGAAAGCCGTGCCCAGCCCTGAGCTTGGGGCTCCCTGTTCCCCTCGCAGAGCCAAAGCTGAAGGTCTAGGGACCGGGGGCTGGGCGGAGGCTGGGCGGAGGCTGCCACTGGGATGGGGAGGTTGCAGCAGAGGCCAGGCAGGTGGGTCCCTGTCTCTCCCCTCTCAGAGCAGGCTGCAGGTGAGTGTCACGGCCCCACTGACACTCACCTGCAGTGCGGTCTGAGGAAAGGGACGTCTGGCACCGGCAGGCGCTCGGCTTCCTCCATAGAGATGTGGGTGTCTACGCGGCCATCACCGAGCGGGGCCAGTGGCTCGCCGAGCAGCCAGAAGGAGGCGCTAGATAAAAGACAGGTGTCTCTGGATACATTCTGTCGATGGCGGGGCAAAGGTGAATGGCGGGAGAGGTGAGTGGAGGGTGTAACTCAACATCTTGTGTGGGTGGTGGGCAGGCAGGGGAATTGAATCCTCGATCTTGGGATCCTCAAGTGGGAGCTTCTACTGCCAACAGGGCCACCTCTGTCAGGCACTAGATGGGACTGGAGAGCCGCAGTGGCCGCGGGGGTTACATGGAGTTAATGTTGCAGGGCTCCCCACTCCATTATCCAAGCCATTAATGAAGCTATAGACTAGTACTGGACCCAGGGCTGACCCCTGGGGCCCCCGCTAGATCCACCCTCCCGCTTGGACAGCAAACAACTGTGAACTGCTTTCTGAGGACGGCCTTTCAAACGGTTGTGCACCCACACGACTATCATGTCATCTAGCCCACATTTCCCTGGTTGGCCTACGAGAACGTCCTGCGGGACTGTGTCCAAAGCCTGACTGAAATCAAGATCCATCATGTCTACTGCTTCCCGCCTGTCCACCAGGCCAGTAACCCTGTCCAAGAAGGAAATTAGGCTGGTTTGGCAAGATTTGTTCTTGGCTAATCCTTATAATTCTATTATCCCCCAGGTGCTTACTAACTGATTGCTTAATAATTTGTTCCAGCATCTGTGACGCAGCAGGGAGGGGGGAGTGTTGACCTGGGAATGTGGCAGGGGATGGGAGACCTGAGAGCCTGTCACCTGAGCCAGGAGGGGGTTGGGGCCAGGTAACACCTCTGCCCCGGAAATGGACAAAGGCTAGAGGAGGGGGCCTGCTGGGGGGGTTGGTTTCAGTTTGGAGCTGGGTGGTAGAACGCAGGGAACCCCAGGGCTGGGGTCTAAGCTCTCTGCCCCCCAGAAGGACTGGACTGAGGAGTCCTGGGTGTACCCACAAGCTCTGCTTGAGACTGTGTTCCTATTGTCCAATAAACCTTCCGTTTTACTGGCTGGCTGAGAGTCTCAGGGAATCCCAGGAAGAGGGGTGCAGCCCCGGACTCCCCTGCACTCCGTGACAGTATCTTTCCAGGTATCCAAAGTTAAGAGGACTGGTCTATAATTCTCCAGGTCCCCTTTGTTCCCGTTTATAAAGAAAAGTGCTAGGTTTGCCCTTTCCCTGTCCTGTGGGACCTCACCCTACCTCCATGAGCTCTCACAGATCATGGCTACTGGTTCTGAGATTGCTTCAGCTAGTTTCTTAAGTATCCCATGGGGAATTTCATCAGGAGCTTCTGACTTGAATACATCCAATTTATCTAAATATTCTTTAGCCTGTTCTTTCCCTGTTTCAGCTTGTGTTCCTTCCCCCTTGCTGTTAATATTGTGTTGAGTATCTGGTCACCATTAACCTATTTAGTGAAGACTGAAGCAAAATAGGCATTAAACACCTCAGCCTTCTTGATGTTGTTAGGTATTCGCTCTCCTTCCCCATGAAGTAGAGGACCTACACTTTCCTTTGTCTTTCTCTTGCTCCTAAAGTATTTAAAGAGCCTCTCCTTATTGCCTTTTATGTCCCTTGCTAGGTGTAACTCATTTTGTGCCTTGGTCTTTCTGATTTTATCCCTATGTGCTTGTGCTGTTCTTTTGTGCTCCTCCTTAGCAATTTGTCCATCTTTCCACTTTCTGTAGGATTCCTTTTTGATTTCCAGGTGATTAGAGAGTTCCTGATGGAGCCATGTTGGCCTCTGTGCTGAAGTGGGAATTTTCTGTGATCTATGTTATGAACCCTAGGCCTGCCCTAGTCTGCCTCTGTACGTCACATTGATAGGGTCAGCACTGCTCCTGGACCAGCACAGGAGACGGAAGATGTGTGTGTCACCTCGCTGTCTGGCGGAATGACTATAGTCATCAGAAAAACTGGCTAAAACAGACCCAAACCAAAAGAAGTTGCAGCTAGACAAAGAGACGCCCTAGAGACCCAACAATCAAGACCAAAGAGCAGGAATCCCCAGCAGGTAGAACTGGGGACGCTGGAGAAGAAGGTGTCGGGTGACTGGAGGAAGGGGGGACTCAGGAGCTCAGCCCTGGGGAGAGCGCGAGAAAGGGAGTCCATTACAGCTTGGCTGGCTCCTCAGGGCACTGACTTGGCCAGGGTGCACGACGGCTTCACTTCTGACCCCCTTTGCTAACCTAAGGACTTTCAGGTTCTGTAGGCCAGGGGACTGAGAAATGGTTCCCTTGTTTTGAAAAGACCCCCGGTGTTGCTCCAAATCCTCCCTGACAGCACGGAGCCCAGAACTACAGCACAAGCCTCCCATAGGGGTCTGGCTGGGCTGGATTGGTTGCAGGGAGCCATGGCGAGAGACAGGGTTTGCTGGTGACAAAGGCCCAGTGTCAGAGTCCTGGAGGCCCCGGGCCTGCCCCTATGGAACTGTGTGGGTCCTTGAGGCCCGGCACACTAAGGGGTCGTTCCGGTTACAGGCTGGGCATAGACCAGATCCTGTGACTCTGTGACAGACTCTTTCTATCTTTTCTTTCCATTGGGATAGTTTGCAGTCGTGCCTTGAATACTGTCTTCTTGAGACTCTGCCAGCTCTTCTGAACTCCTTTTTTCCTTAGATTTTCTTCCTAACCTACCAGCTCTCTGACTTGGCTGAAGTCTGATTTTTTGAAGTCCACTGTCCCAGATCTGCTGCTCTCACTCCTTTCTTTCCCTAGAATCACGAAGTCTCGCATGTCATGATCACGTTAGTCATGTTGCCTAGAAGTTACGCACAATTCCATAATAACACTTAAACCACTGCATTTGGAATACAATGGACTCCTAAAATATTTAATTCAGTAAGGTTTCACTTAGTTCAATAAGGTGTATCCAGGACATTGCAAGATATCGTCATATCTGTCCGAGTAGGTATCCCCAGACAGGGACAATGGGGGAATACCAAAGGTTAACAATGGTACCTCTGCCAGGATCTATGATGATCTCCTCATGCTCTGGGGTGAAGGAAGATTGTAAAAATTGGAACTGGAACCTGGTCTCTTTGAGTCCTGCTCTGTCTCTTACTCCTTTCCCATCTCTCTCTCTCTCCCTGCTTCTCCCAATTCAGTCCAAGGTGAAAGTTTCCCCCATGAAATCAGGGTCCCAGCCCTTTGCAACCTGCTGGTTTGCTCCGTGACAGGGTTTTACCCCTTGGGGATCGAGATCAAGTGGCTGAAGAACGGGCAGGAGCAGACGGCCGGGGTGGTGTCCACGGAGCTGCTCCAGAACGGAGACTGGACCTTCCAGATCCTGGTGATGCTGGAGATAAGCCCCTGGTGCGGGGACGTCTACACCTGCCAGCTGGAGCACATCAGCCTGCGGGACCCCCTCAGTGTGCACTGGGGTAAGAGCCTCTGGGTGTGGGGCAGCCCCTGAGCCCCACAAAGGCATCCCTCGCTCTGTAGAGCCCCCAGGGGATGGGCCTGGGTCACAGCCCCACCCCACCCCTGCGGGCAGAGAGCACAAGGGGAAGGAGAGGCTGAGCTCAGCCTAAACCAGCTGTGCTCTTGTTTCCACACAGGCACTGGCTGACTCTGCTGGGGCAAGAGGCTGGCTGGGGTCGGGGGCTTCGTGCTGGGTTTGGTCTTCGTGGTCCTGGGGTTGCTCGTCTACCTGAGGAATAAGAAAGGTGACTGGCTCAGGGATGGGGCCGGCAGCCCCAGGAAACGAGTCCCCAGTGGGGCCATGATGCAATGGCACTGGAGGGAAGTGAGCTGTAGCTCACGAAAGCTCATGCTCAAATAAATTGGTTAGTCTCTAAGGTGCCACAAGTACTCCTTTTCTTTTTGCGAATACAGACTAACACGGCTGTTCCTCTGAAAGCTAGGATTTTGGTTCACCGCACTTTGCTTTAATTTTCTCTTCAGGCTCGAATCCAGTTTTCTAGTGACTCAGAAACTTCCTGCCCATCTCTCTGCCCACGTCCAGGAAGTGCAGGGCTAATCCCAGCCCCTGGCTTCCCATAAACCTGAGTCAGCCCCTTCAGAGTCTGAGCTACAGTCATGCCCTCCTGGCCTCCCCTCCACTTCTCCTCTCTAGTCCCACACAGTCCTGGAACATCAGGGAGTTGCAGACACAGTTTGAAGTGCCCGCAGATCAGTCAGTTCCTCTCTAGTTATGAAACAAATCCACTTCCCCTTTTAAAAATATGGAGACCAGACTCACTTGAGAAACACACCAGAAATCGATGAACTCCTGACCGTGAATTCTGACACTTATTTATGCTACCCTCAAAGCTGCTTCCCTTTTTGCCTAAACGTGTGAAAGAAACTGTAATAACTTGCAGGTCAAAACGCTGACTGCGTGCACCCGTTTTTCCCTTACCTGCGCTCACTCACTCTCTAATTATTTTCCCAGGTGGGTTGACATGAGCAACAACGTCCCATTCACACTCACACACCACTTCCCACATTTTCCTGGGGCCTTTCGCCTTTAAAACAATATTTCTAAAAGCACAAAAGTCTCCCCTTAAATCAGACAAAGAGATTGTGGAGGGACTTGTGACAAAGTGGGACTGTTCTCAATGTTTTCTCTGAATAGTGTGGGGGTGCCTCGGTTTCCCCTAGGCAGTTCTTAAGTATCTAGGGGGTGGGGTAAGGGGTTATGATCATTGCAGAGCCCTAGAGGGCAGGTGTATGCAGGAGTCTGGGCACAGAGAATGGCCGACACCCTGTTTCCTGGCACCTGATGGCCTGGGCCCTTCCCCCCTGCAAGGTGAGAGCTAAAGGGTTGGAGACAAAGAGATCAGGTGACCTCCTGGCCCGGGAAAGAGACAAAGCCCAGAGGAGGAGGGGCGGGAGAGAGTTTCAGTTTGGGGCTGGCTGGGGACGAGGAGTGAAGTGCAGACGTGGTTGTCTGGCTCACTGCCCCCCAAAAAGGACCCGGCTGAGGGGTCCTGTTCTCTGCACCTACAAGCTCTGTGTTAGATCATGTTCCTGTCGTCTAATAAACCTTCTGTTTTACTGGCTGGCTGAGAGTCCCATCTGACTGCGGAGTTGGGGTGCAGGACCCTCTGGCTTCCCCAGGACCCCGCCTGGGTGGACTTACTGTGGGAAGTGCACGGAGGGACAGAGAGGTTGCTGAATGCTCCGAGTTCAGACCCAGGAAGGTGGAAGCCGTGTGAGCTGTGTGTCCTGCAGACAGGCTGCTCCCCGAGAGACTTCCCCAGAGTCCTGCCTGGCTTCATAGGGAGCAGTTCCCGAGCATCGCCCGGGGACTCCGTGACAGGGCTGGAGCTGGATTTTGACTCTACATTGGTCTCGGCTAGCCTCAGTGCCAGGTGGTGATACCTCTCTCTCCCTGCAGGGCTCCTGCATCTGATCCCATCCTGGAGAATGTAGAAGCTGGGAGCCCAGGAGCCCACTTCTGCACTGCTGATCGAGGCCTGGTGCCCTCTGGTTGAATGTCCCTTTCTGTCATTGTCTCCTCCCTGGGCTCTCCCCACCCTCCTGTGCTGCTCCCACCTGGGGGAGTCCTCACTTTCCCTCGTGCACACGTCCCGAGTTAACGGTCTCCTGGCCCCCTGCCCAGCCCCACAGTCACTCTTGCTGATGTCGCTGCCCATGTGGGAACCTGTCTGGGATGGCCCCAGGTCCCTGCACAGAACAATTATGCTCGCAGATACGTGACCATAGTGAAATGTGCAAAATTTTGGCAGACTCTAAGACCTCAACCTTGGGGTACAGACCAGAAAGTACAAAGCAAAGTCTAAACCCAGAAAAGAGCAACTGCAGCCAGCAGGACCGGAGAGATTGAGACAGGGACACTTTCTAGCCAATGTCCCACACACAAGGAAACATGAGAAAAATATTTCCTCCAGTTATTGAGAAACGTAAAAGTTGTCTCCTCATAAAGTGATGATGACAATGCATGCGTGACCCGGGGAGAAAGGAGACAATAGTGATTGACATGTGTCAACCTGCCACCCAGTCAGGAATGGACAGCAAGGGTAAATAGACACAAGGGATCATAGAATCATAGAATATCAGGGTTGGAAGGGACCCCAGAAGGTCATCTAGTCCAACCCCCTGCTCGAAGCAGGACCAATTCCCAGTTAAATCATCCCAGCCAGGGCTTTGTCAAGCCTGACCTTAAAAACCTCTAAGGAAGGAGATTCTACCACCTCCCTAAGTAACGCATTCCAGTGTTTCACCACCCTCATAGTGAAAAAGATTTTCCTAATATCCAATCTAAACCTCCCCCACTGCAACTTGAGACCATTACTCCTCGTTCTGTCATCTGCTACCATTGAGAACAGTCTAGAGCCATCCTCTTTGGAACCCCCTTTCAGGTAGTTGAAAGCAGCTATCAAATCCCCCCTCCTTCTTCTCTTCTGCAGGCTAAACAATCCCAGCTCCCTCAGCCTCTCCTCATAAGTCATGTGTTCTAGACCCCTAATCATTTTTGTTGCCCTTCGCTGGACTCTCTCCAATTTATCCACATCCTTCTTGTAGTGTGAGGCCCAAAACTGGACACAGTACTCCAGATGAGGCCTCACCAATGTCGAATAGAGGGGAACGATCACGTCCCTCGATCTGCTCGCTATGCCCCTACTTATACATCCCAAAATGCCATTGGCCTTCTTGGCAACAAGGGCACACTGCTGAATCATATCCAGCTTCTCATCCACTGTCACCCCTAGGTCCTTTTCCGCAGAACTGCTGCCTAGCCATTCGGCCCCTAGTCTGTAGCAGTGCATTGGATTCTTCCGTCCTAAGTGCAGGACTCTGCACTTGTCCTTATTGAACCTCATCAGATTTCTTTTGGCCCAATCCTCCAATTTGTCTAGGTCCTTCTGTATCCTATCCCTGCCCTCCAGCGTATCTACCTCTCCTCCCAGTTTAGTATCATCCGCAAATTTGCTGAGAGTGCAATCCACACCATCCTCCAGATCATTTATGAAGATATTGAACAAAACCGGCCCCAGGACCGACCCTTGGGGCACTCCACTTGATACCGGCTGCCAACTAGACATGGAGCCATTGATCACTACCCGTTGAGCCCAACAATCTAGCCAGCTTTCTACCCACCTTATAGTGCATTCATCCAGCCCATACTTCCTTAACTTGCTGACAAGAATACTGTGGGAGACCGTGTCAAAAGCTTTGCTAAAGTCAAGAAACAATACATCCACTGCTTTCCCTTCATCCACAGAACCAGTAATCTCATCATAAAAGGCGATTAGATTAGTCAGGCATGACCTTCCCTTGGTGAATGGTGGCTGTTCCTGATCACTTTTCTCTCATGCAAGTGCTTCAGGATTGATTCTTTGAGGACCTGCTCCATGATTTTTCCAGGGACTGAGGTGAGGCTGACTGGCCTGTAGTTCCCAGGATCCTCCTTCTTCCCTTTTTAAAGATTGGCACTACATTAGCCTTTTTCCAGTCATCCGGGACTTCCCCCGTTCGCCACGAGTTTTCAAAGATAATGGCCAATGGCTCTGCAATCACAGCCGCCAATTCCTTCAGCACTCTCGGATGCAACTCGTCCGGCCCCACGGACTTGTGCACGTCCAGCTTTTCTAAATAGTCCCTAACCACCTCTATCTCCACAGAGGGCTGGCCATCTCTTCCCCATTTTGTGATGCCCAGCTCAGCAGTCTGGGAGCTGACCTTGTTAGTGAAGACAGAGGCAAAAAAAGCATTGAGTACATTAGCTTTTTCCACATCCTCTGTCACTAGGTTGCCTCCCTCATTCAGTAAGGGGCCCACACTTTCCTTGGCTTTCTTCTTGTTGCCAACATACCTGAAGAAACCCTTCTTGTTACTCTTGACATCCCTTGCTAGCTGCAGCTCCAGGTGCGATTTGGCCCTCCTGATATCATTCCTACATGCCCGAGCAATATTTTTATACTCTTCCCTGGTCATATGTCCAAACTTTCACTTCTTGTAAGCCTCTTTTTTATGTTTAAGATCCGCTAGGATTTCACCATTAAGCCAAGCTGGTCGCCTGCCATATTTACTGTTCTTTCGACTCATCGGGATCGCACCCCAAACTCAGTGTGTGAGCCCTCTCGTGAGGGCGCTGGCTTTTCCTTACATTCGGGCAGCGCAGGGACAGCTGGTCACAACTGTAGCTAAACATAAAAACTATGTTCTTAAAGTAGAGAACAGGCAGGTCACGTGAAGTTTAAAACACGTTTCTGTGCAGGCAGGGGTTAGGAGTCGTTTATCCTCTGGCTGGCCATTGTATATTGTGCATCTCACAATATAAGTCTATTTGCATAGGGAGCTACCAGCTAATCCAGACTGCGAAATCAACAAGGGATCCCCAAATCTACAGGAAGGAACACACAGTGGGAGGGTGTCCAGTTTATGAATAAAGCTCAATGGACTATTTAATATACCTGGGGGTGCAAAAAGACACACAGTATCCTTCACAGAGGCAAGAAGTTAAGAGCGTGGCTTGTTTCCTGAGAAAGATATCACAGCCTGCCTGGCTGGAAAACACTGCTGACATTTTGGAAGAGCTAAGCTTCATTAGATACATAGAAAAGTATCTTGGTAATAAAGATTAGTCTCTAGAATGTGTGTTATGATTTTATTTTATATGTAGCCATTTTTTCTCAATAATTCTACTTGTGTCTTCTCGTATCTCTAACCTTTGTTAAATAAACTGACATTTCTTTTCACTGTGGGCAGGGCTGGGGAATGCCTGTCACTCCGCAGAGCTTGTGTTGCTGTGGCTGGTGGCTAATCTTAACCATAATCACTCGCCTCATGCCTGGTGACTCATACTTACAGGGCCCTGGGGGTACCTTTGTGAGGTTGTGGGGGAAACTGCAAAGAGGTCATTTTCTGTTATAACTGCTGCACTGCCTAATACGCCAGCTCCCCAAGGAACCCGCTTGCTCAGAGCTCGCTGTGGCCAGGGGGAACTGGCAGGGAAAAGGCTGGGGCCTCTAGTTCCTGTGGCCCCTGGCTGCAGGGAGCAGGATGGGCAGACCAGCAGCCTTGGGGCCGGGGACTCCCCAGACCCAGACCCAGGCCCTAGTTTCCAGCAGGCGGAGGAGCCGTGCTGGGGGCTGGGTACAACACAGATTTCTTGGAAGAAAACAGGAGAGCAGATACAAGGGAGCCACTTCTCTGCTCTGGTTGAGGAATCCTTGTTCCTAGCTCACCCCTGCCAGCTTCTCTGGCTCTCTAACAGGAGCGTGGCTGGGAGGGTCACTGCCAATGTCAACCACCACTTACTGGTACCCCCGTCCGTGGAATAAAACAATCCAGACATAGTCCTGCCTATAGTCACATTTTGCTTCCACACAGTGTGTACAGCAGGGGCATGCGAAGAAAAGCCGTCAGAGCCTTCACTGCAGGGGCTGGTGTTGCAGCTACATCAGGACACCTGGGTTCTATCCAGCTCTGCTGCAGTTTCACTGCGTGACCTCAGGCAGGTCACGTCACCTCCCCGCTTCCTTCTCTCTGGAACAAGGGCTAATGGCGTTTGCCTGCTTGGCTGGTGGGTTAACTGTCAGCGCAAACCTGAAACCACATGAGGAAATGGTGAGAAGCCAGAATGTGCACAGCCCTGGTGCTAACAAGTGACCTCGCTGAAATAAACCAGCCTGTGTCGTCTTCTTGTCGCTCGTAATGGCCCAGGGACCGAACACGCTGGTGTGTCCCAGGAAGGTCATTTCTGTGCTGCCCCAGAGCTCAGATGTCGACCCTCAAACACACAAGACAAAATAACAAAGCCCCCTGCTGCAGAAGCAGACAAACCCCAGCAGCAGCACTGCGGAGCACCACCGCAAAACGGTGTGAACCCATGGCACGCACCTCGCTGCGCTCACCGGGGCCTGGGGGGCCGCTCCCCAGTCTCTCCTGCTGTCTCGCCGTGCAGGGACCCGCGGTGCCTGCTCCACAGTGGAGATACAGGGACGGCACGTGGCCTCCTCCGGCAGGACGTGCGGGGTCTGTCTGCAGCTGCGACTGCCGGGCCTTCTTCCCTCTGTCACACGGCTCAGAGGGGGTGTCATGAAGGGGGGTCACCCCAGGGGATTGCACCTCTGCTGCGTGTGTCAATCGTCCGCTCACTTACTCTGGGCTGGAGGAAATAGGGGACCCTGAGGGGGGCAGGGCCCAAAACCCAGACCTGCCCTGACCCTAACAATGGGGTTGAGACAAGAGCCGGAACCCAGAGGATGAATCGGGGGAGATTCACTCTGGAAAAGCAGCGTCTGCTCCAGGGCCAAGTGAGGAAAACCAAGCCGGGGGCTCCCCCTGCACAGCAAGGTCCCCCCGCCCCCAGAACAGCCGCACCTCACATTCGGTCCCAAACACCAGGCAGCGATTTTCATCCAGAACCAACCGGGGATGGTCATTGCATGTCACTGTTACCATGAGACCAGCGTGAGGCAGCCCAGCACGGAGGAGCAACCCTACAATAACAAACCAGCTTATTAACAGCAATCCTACAATAACAAGCCAGCATGTCTACACACCCATGACTCCCAAGCAACCCTAAAATAACAAACCAGCCTGTCCACAGCCCAGCGCTCCCCAGCAACCCCACAATAACAAAGCAGAAAGTCCACAGACCAAGAAGTCAGGGTGACTGTGATGTTGCACTCCATATGTTTATGGAAATATGCTTATGAGTGTGAATATGATGTAACTGGAATATGCTTGTAAGGTATCATAACAAAGGTTATAAACTAGGGAATATATTCTTCCTATTTGTATGCATGTATCATTCTTGTATCTGAAGCTAGAAATATGAAGTATAACTCTGAGGTCCTGTTGTAATTATGCAAAGCGTGGGCCATTAATGGGGGTTTAGAATCTTGATGGCTCCCAGGGACTAGGACAATTGGTTGTAAATGGTTTATTTACCTGCAAGCCTTCCTGTGGAGGTGTGGGCCAACCCAGGAAGAATGGAGACGAGCGGTCTCACAGTGACATGTGACCATGTTGCCTGGTACTGGAATCCATCTTAAGTCTGGTACTTTTCCATTTAGAACGAGGGGTGGGGACCCAGAGAGACAAAAGATTCCCGCCATGGCCAAAGCTATAAAAGGGGGTGGAGCAGGACAAAAGGGGGGGGCCAGTCATGAGAAAACCCCTGCTTACCACCAGAGATGTCTGCTGGCTCAACCAAAGACTGTACTGGGGAAAGGATCGGGCCCAGATGAGGAAGGAGTCTAGTCTGTGAAAAAGCTCATTGGAACAGCTCTGAAGGCGAGATATTACCCGTAATCAGTTTCTTAATGTATTAGGCTTAGACTTGCCTGTTTTGTTTTATTTTGATTTGTGACTTACTCTGTTCTCTCTGTTATTACTCGAAACCACTTAAAGCCTACTTGTTATACTAATAAAATCACCGTGATTTATTTATAAACCCAGGGTACGTGATGAACACCTGGGGGAGCAAATCGCTGGACATCTCTCTCTGTCAGTGTTGTAGAGGGCGGGCAATTCCTGCGTTTACCCTGTCTGAGCTTTATACAGGGTAAGACGGAGTCCTTTGGGGTTTGGACCCCACTGGGAGCTGGGGGTCTGGGTGCCGGAGACAGGGGACCTGCTCACCCCACTGGGAGCTGGGGGTCTGGGTGCCGGAGACAGGGGACCTGCTCACCCCACTGGGAGCTGGGGGTCTGGGTGCCGGAGACAGGGGACCTGCTCACCCCACTGGGAGCTGGGGGTCTGGGTGCAGGAGACAGGGGACCTGCTCACCCCACTGGGAGCTGGGGGTCTGGGTGCCGGAGACAGGGGACCTGCTCACCCCACTGGGAGCTGGGGGTCTGGGTGCCGGAGACAGGGGACCTGCTCACCCCACTGGGAGCTGGGGGTCTGGGTGCCGGAGACAGGGGACCTGCTCACCCCACTGGGAGCTGGGGGTCTGGGTGCCGGAGACAGGGGACCTGCTCACCCACTGGGAGCTGGGGGTCTGGGTGCCGGAGACAGGGGACCTGCTCACCCCACTGGGAGCTGGGGGTCTGGGTGCCGGAGACAGGGGACCTGCTCACCCCACTGGGAGCTGGGGGTCTGGGTGCCGGAGACAGGGGACCTGCTCACCCCACTGGGAGCTGGGGGTCTGGGTGCCGGAGACAGGGGACCTGCTCACCCCACTGGTATCAGAGCACCTGCGAGAGCCTGAGCTCCGTCCCCTCCCAGCCCCTCGGGGAGCTTGGGCCGGGCGGTTCTCCCCCTTGTGCGGGGGGGCCCTGAGGCGAAGGGCCGGGTCTTCAAAGCCGTTTCCGCACCGAGCGGGATTTCCAAAGGCGCCCAGGAGGTCAGGCTCGTCGTCAGCCCCGCGAGATGCCGAGCCGCGTCCCGGGGGGGCTCCGTCCCGAAGGCGCCGGCCTGCCGGCAGACCGGGCGGGCGCAGGGGGTAGCTGGACGAAGCCAGCTGCCTCCGGGCGACCTGTCTCACGGCGGGGAGCCAAACCCGGCAGGCCACCTCCGGGAGACGGCGGTTGGGAAGGAGGCCGTGGCAGCTCAGAGCCCAGCTCTAAGATGGATTGAATTGTCTTTCGCTCTGTGGGAAGGAGATACAGTGCTCCTGTCGGCTACTTTCTAAGTCGTTATCTGTTTCAGGTGCCTCGGGAGCCCCGGGAATCACAGTTAAAATTTGTCGTCCCCCCCGCCACATCAAAACCTGAACTGGTGCCCCTAGGTTCAGCCCGGCTGCCCCCCAGCGGGAGGAGCCAGCCCCAGCCCCACAGTACAGGACCACCCCTGCGGGGTGAGTGGGGGCAGGCTCGCTCCCTGCGCCGGGGCAGGTTTGGGGTGACGTTCCGGGGCTGAGGGTGCTGCTGTGGGCAGAGCCCGTGGGCGGGGTGAGGAGCAGGATGCTGGCCGTGAATCTGAGCCCTGGGCACCTGCCTAGTCTGCCTGTGGGTGAATCTGGCTCTGAGTGGGGGGGCGCTGTCCCCTGGCAGTCAGGGCTGGCCCCATTGCCCCAGGGCGGCGCTAGGGGCTGGGCTGGGAGCAATGGTACCCCAGGCTGGAGGAGATGGAGGGGGCGTCACACACACGCACTGACCCGGGGACAGGGCCTGGTTCTGATCTTGCGGCCGGGGATCCCCCTCCCGCGCTGCCTCCGCTCCCCGACTCCCTCTGCCCTGATTGGCTCGGGGCTGGCAGCTGCGGGGACGCAGCTGAGCAGAGACAGACAAAGAGAGAAGTGGGCAAAGAGGCGTGTGCCCTGGGGCGGAACCGAGAGCATGTGAGTGACTCTGGGCCCCTCATCTCGCTGCCCTGACGCCCGCCTGAGCCCGGCTTCCCCTTCCCCTGCCAGGATGCTGCTCCCTCTGCTGCTCCTCCCCTGGGCATGGGGGGCCCGGACTGGTAATTGGGGACCCCTCCCCCACCATTTTTGAACCTGGGAGGTGGGGATGGTGTAATCCCAAGGCTAGGGTAGGGCAGCACCACGCTGGGCTAGTGACCCTTGCTGGGGGAGTAGAAGGAGTGGGGAGGTGGGTTAGGTTCAGCAGGGAGATCCTGTCGCGAAGGACTTAAGGAGACTGAGACTCATTCAGCTCTCTCCCCACCTGCTTTGTCCTCCACTTGTTTCCTGCCCCCTCCCCCAGCCTCCCCTCCTCTCCCCCCAGCATCTGTCACCCTGCGGCTGCTCCAGATCAATGTCTTCCACAACACCAGCTCCACGGACATGGAGGGGATGGCCCTGCTGGGCGACCTGGAGACCCACTCCATGGACTGCAGCACCTGCCAGATCCGCTTCCTGCAGCCCTGGGCCCAGCGCGGCCTGACCCCGAAGGAGTGGCAGGACCTGGAGCTGCTGATCCATCACTACCTGTTCAATTTCAACCGTACTGTGAACAGGATAGCTCAGCAGCAGGGAATGGCCTGTGAGTACGAAGCGGGGTGCTGGGAACTGACACACTCACCACAGCCACTGAGCGTGTCCCTGGGGGCAAGACAGCCAGTCCCTGGCCCGTAGGCTGTTTGGAGCCGGTGTCCCTCAGAGGGGAAACACCCGTACCCCATTCTCCACTCCAGGGTCAGCCAGCCAGGTCTGGGGCCAGATTGTAGCTTGAACTTCTGTCACGGAGTCCCTGGGCGATGCTCTGGAACTGCTCCCCATGAAGCCAGGCAGGACTCTGGGGCAGTCGCCTTTCTGTGAGCAGCCTGTCTTCAGGACACGCAGCTCACTCAGCTTCCACCTTCCTGGGTCTGACCTCGGAGCATTCAGCATCCTCTGCCCCTCCGTGCGCTTCCCACAGCGAGTCCGCTCAGGCGGGGCTCCTGGGGAAGCCAGAGGGTCCTGCACCCCAACTTCGCAGTCAGACGTGACTCTCAGCCAGCCAGTAAAACAGAAGGTTTATTAGACGACAGGAACATGGTCTAACACAGAGCTTGCAGGTGCAGAGAACGGGACCCCTCAGCTGGGTCCATTTTGGGGGGCAGTGAGCCAGACAACCACGTCTGCACTTCACTCCATGTCCCAGCCAGCCCCAAACTGAAACCCCCTCCAGCCCCTCCTCCTCTGGGCTTTGTTCCTTTCCCGGGCCAGGAGGTCACCTGATTCCTTTGTTCTCCAACCCTTCAGCTCTCACCTTGCAGGGGGGGAAGGGCCCAGGCCATCAGTTGCCAGGAAACAGGGTGTTGGCCATTCTCTGTGTCCAGACTCCTGCACACACCTGCCCTCTAGGGCTCTGCAATGATCATACACCCTTACTCCACCCCCTAGATACTTAAGAACTGCATAGGGGAAACTGAGGCACCCCCACACTATTCAGAGGAAACATTAAGAACAGTCCCACTTCGTCACATCTCTCCCCCTTCGAGATCGAACTGAGCGGGGTCACTTTAGCCGGTGACCTGGGGAAGTTCGAAGCCACCAACGTTCCCATGGATGCCCCAGCATCTCTCCCATTCCTTGGTAGGAGTTACACCAGGCCCTTCCAGTTTCACGCCCTCCCTTAGGTCAGGGGTGGTCGATAGCACTCGCAGGCCGCATGTGGGAAGGTTTATGCAGCCCATGCCCTTTGGCCACCCCAAGAATGTCTCCCCATTGACCATCACCTTCTGCTCCCACTGGAGGTCCGGGGGGCCTGGCCCCAGGAAACTCCACACAGACATATAGGTTGGGGTCAGGAGTGGGAGCCTGTCCACATCCCCAACTATCTGGCCGACGGAGTCTATGGCGTTGGGACCCAGCAAGGGAGGTAGACACCGGGGCTTTTCCGCAGGGTCCCCTTGGTTCAAATCGCCAGCCTGCTCAAAGGCAGTGAGGTGGGCATCCACACACCCCCCCCTTAACCAGGGGCAGCAATTTAGTCTCGAGGTTCCCTGCGGAACTGGCCCCCGGGATCTATCCCCACTCACCCCGGGGAGGTCCCCTAGGCCTCTCCGCCCCACCACCGCCAGTTCATCCTGCTGCTGCTTCTGCAGCTCTTTCTCGGGCTCTCGCTGTCTCCCACGGTCCTCTTGCTCTCTCAGACTCAGCTCCAGTCCCGTCCGTCTCGATCCCCCGATGGGGAACCCGATCGTGAAGACCCCCGTCTGGTCGGGGACAGGAGTCTTGGCGATGCCTGGCTCCCGCTTCAGCTGCTCCCAGATCCTGCTATAGCCCCAGTTGGGGTCAGGAATCTGTTCCTTAGAGCGGTCATCCTCCTCCAGCTGCACGATTAACTCTGCTTTGGTGAACTTTCCAACGCTCAACCCTCTCTTTCTGCACAGGGTTACAATGTCCTTCTTAAGGAGACGGTGACAGGCCATCACTCCGCTCCTCCCAAGTTGTTGTGGACTCACAGGCCCGTGTGTTCTCAGCTCCCCATGGTTTCCAGGGAGAACCCCTAGTGTGCCAGCCCTTCTCGAGGTCACCACCTCTTTGCCAGGGTCGAGCTGCAGACTCCTCCGCCCCTGAGACTGCTCACTGCAATCCCCAGGGGAACCCTGTTACTGCACAGTCCTTCTCGCTGGTCACACACTCCCAGGGGTTAACCGCCCCCCGAAACCGCTCCTCTCTGAGCCTTCAGCAGGCCTGGTCCTCAGCAATCCCCCTTCGTGTTACTGCTCCCCCAGTCACTTACTGCAGGAAGCGCCATCCACGGGGGTGCAGTACATCCCACCGCTGCCACCAGTTGTCACGGAGTCCCTGGGCGATGCTCTGGAACTGCTCCCCATGAAGCCAGTCAGGACTCTGGGGCAGTCGCCTTTCTGTGAGCAGCCTGTCTTCAGGACACGCAGCTCACTCAGCTTCCACCTTCCTGGGTCTGACCTCGGAGCATTCAGCATCCTCTGCCCCTCCGTGCGCTTCCCACAGCGAGTCCGCTCAGGCGGGGCTCCTGGGGAAGCCAGAGGGTCCTGCACCCCAACTTCGCAGTCAGACGTGACTCTCAGCCAGCCAGTAAAACAGAAGGTTTATTAGATGACAGGAACATGGTCTAACACAGAGCTTGCAGGTGCAGAGAACGGGACCCCTCAGCTGGGTCCATTTTGGGGGGCAGTGAGCCAGACAACCACGTCTGCACTTCACTCCATGTCCCAGCCAGCCCCAAACTGAAACCCCCTCCAGCCCCTCCTCCTCTGGGCTTTGTTCCTTTCCCGGGCCAGGAGGTCACCTGATTCCTTTGTTCTCCAACCCTTCAGCTCTCACCTTGCAGGGGGGGAAGGGCCCAGGCCATCAGTTGCCAGGAAACAGGGTGTTGGCCATTCTCTGTGTCCAGACTCCTGCCCACACCTGCCCTCTAGGGCTCTGCAATGATCATACACCCTTACCCCACCACCTAGATACTTAAGAACTGCCTAGGGGAAACTGAGGCACCCCCACACTATTCAGAGGAAACATTAAGAACAGTCCCACTTCGTCACAACTTCCTAGAGGGGAAAGGCCCCACGTCCCACTCCCTGAGCCGAGGCTCCGGGTCTTTCCTGACATGTAGCCTGACCCTTTGAAAAGCAGGTCATTTGGGCGGGGGTCTGTATCTCAGGAACCCAGTGACCAAGGTACCCCAAATTTGCACCACAAACTCTGCCTCAGGCCCCGATATAATGCAGCGATTTTCGAGCCAATCTGACTATGCACGTGAAAAATCAGCTTTAAACAAAAACTTCAACGTGCCCTGAATTCCAGCCAGGGCTGCCCCACAATCCCACCGCTGTCCTGAGGCCAAACGTCCTCATAGTACCTGACAAGTCTATTCCCCCCTCCCATCCCTCACGCTGCCTCTCTATTTCTGACCCTTACCCCTGCCTCCCGGTGACCTCGGGACACCCGTCCTCATCCCCCTGCCCTCCCTGCTCCAGACCCCTTTGTTACCCAGGTCTCTGTCAGCTGCGAGTTCCACCCCAACGGCACCTCGAGGGGATTCTATGAGGCCGCGGTGAACGGCGAGGACTTCATCAGCTTCGACGCGGATGCAGGCACCTGGGTCGCTCGTCAGGGGGACAAGCTGGCGCTCTACACCCGGGACCTTCTTAACCACGAGAGGAGCACGGCCATCACGCTTCAGTTTCTCCTGCGAGCAACCTGTATCAATGAGCTCAAGAGCTTTGTCCAGTATGGGAACGAGTCTCTGGAGAGGCAAGGTGAGGCTGGACACCACTCGCTGCCATGCGACCACCTCTGGGGTAGGATGTGGGGGCTGTTTATACAGGGATCCCTGGTCCAGCACTGAGAAGAAGTCACCTTTGGGGTCAGGTGTGGGAGCTGTTTATATAGGGATCCCTCACCTTGAACTGATATGCAGCCACCTCTGGGGTGGGGCAGGGGGCCGTTTATCCAGGGACCCCTTGCCTGGTGTACAAATGCAGCTATAGCTGGGGTGGAGCACCGTAGCCATTTCATAGCCGCACTGCACAGCCGTTTAGGACAGGAAGTGAAGGGGGATTCCCTCACCACTGGTAACTGCAGGGAACAGAATTGGGGCCTGGCCAGGACAGCGGGGCCAATGCCTGACCCCGGGGGATGGAGCTGGGTTTGGCTAGTGAGTCCCTGAGGCTCAGACTGAATCGTTCCTCTCCCCCGCCCCGTCTCTCTCCCCCTGTCTCAGAGCGGCCGGTCGCCATGGTGTTTGCCCGAGCGTCTCCCCCAGCCGGGACCCCCGCGTCGTTACTGCTGGTTTGCCGGGTCACCGGTTTCTACCCCCGGCCCATCCGCGTGGCCTGGCTGCAGGACGGGGAGGAGGTGGGGCCGGGCGGGCGGCTGAGCTCCAGCGGGATCCTGCCCAACGCGGACCTGACCTACCAGCTGCGCAGCTCCCTGGCCGTGGAGCCGGGCGATGGGCACAGCTACGCCTGCCGGGTGGAGCACAGCAGCCTGGGGGGCCAGAATCTGCTGATCCCCTGGGGTAGGTGCACGTCTCCAGGGGGGGTGCGGTCGAGGTCTCTGGGGGCTTTTCCTGCACGTCCTGAGTGGGACGGGGGTGGGTCCAGGCAACGGGACTGGGATGGAGGGAGGCAGAGGGGTGAGTGAGGGTTGTGGGGATGGACCAGGGGGAGCAGGATGGAGGAGCTGAGGGGGACGGGACAGGACTGGGATGGAGGGAGGCAGCAGTGGTGGCTGAGGAGAGCGCGAATGGGACGGGGTGCAGAGAGCTGTGTAGAGTGGGGCAGAGGAGGTGCGAGGAGCAGAGCTGGGGAGGGCCTGTGGGGTATGCGGAAAAAGACATGGGTATGGTGGCGATTGGACAGAGGGGAGCAGAACTGGATTGGGGGGAAGCAGGGGGTGGGACTGTGGGAGAAAATAGGGGCACTGTGGGGGAGGCTGAGCGAACAGTGCGGGGATGTGGGGCTGAGGGCAGTGGGTTGGGGTGGGGTGTCACGGAGTCCCTGGGCAATGCTCTGGAACTGCTCCCTACAAAGCCAGGCAGGACTCTGGGGAAGTCTCTCTGGGAGCAGCCTGTCTGCAGGACACACAGCTCACCTGGCTTCCCCCTTCCTGGGTCTGACCTCGGAGCATTCAGCATCCTCTGCCCCTCCGTGCGCTTCCCACAGCCATGCCACGCAGGCGGGGTCCTGGGGAAGCCAGAGGGTCCTGCCCCCCAACTCTGCAGTCAGACGTGACTCTCAGCCAACCAGTAAAACAGAAGGTTTATTAGACGACAGGAACATGGTCTAACACAGAGCTTGTAGGTGCAGAGAACAGGACCCCTCAGCTGGGTCCATTTTGGGGGGCAGTGAGCCAGACAACCACGTCTGCACTTCACTCCATGTCCCAGCCAGCCCCAAACTGAAACTCCCTCCAGCCCCTCCTCCTCTGGGCTTTGTCCCTTTCCCGGGCCAGGAGGTCACCGGATTCCTTTGTTCTCCAACCCTTTAGCTCTCACCTTGGAGGGGGGAAGGGCCCAGGCCATCAGTGGCCAGGAAACAGGGTGTTGGCCATTCTCTGTGTCCAGACCCCTGCCCACACCTGCCCTCTAGGGCTCTGCAACGATCATACACCCTTACCCTATCCCCTAGATACTTAAGAACTGCCTAGGGGAAACTGAGGCACCCCCACACTATTCAGAGGAAACATTAAGAACAGCCCCACTTCGTCACATGGGGGGAGCAGGGGAAGACTGCAGGAGAGGTGGAGGGACCAGGGCCCATTCTCCTGTCCCGGTTCCCAGCATGGCACCCCCTGTTTTACAGAGCAGAGCTGGGGCTGGGGCCCCGGCCTGGCCGTGGGCATCACCCTGGGGGCTCTGGCCGTAGCCGCCGTGGCCGGGGTGCTGTGGAGGAGCAGACGCAGGTGAGTCCTCTCCCTCTCGGGGGTGGGGGTGGGGGTGGGACCGTTACACCCTTAACCCATCCCCTCTGCTCTCTCCTTCCAGGGGCTACCAGGACGTTAGACCAGGGGAGTCCAGGGCCTGAGGGCGGCACCGGCCCAGGTGTGGGCATTGACCCATCTCCTGGGGACATGGACCTTGGGGCTGGATCCGTGCCCAGCTCCAGAGCTGAGGGCCCCAAGGGCAGGACTGGATCGGGGTGTCACGGAGTGTGGGGGAGTCCGGGCCCTGCACCCCTCTTCCTGGGATTCACTGTGACTCTCAGCCAGCCAGTAAAATGGAAGGTTTATTGGACAACAGGAACAAATAGAGCTGTGGGTACACCCAGGACCCCTCAGTCAAGTCCTTCTGGGGGAGCAGGGAGCTTAGACCCCAGCCCTGGGGTTCCCTGTGTTCCTCCACCCAGCCCCAAACTGAAAACTAACCCCCCAGCAGGCTCCCTCCTGCAGCCTCTGTCCACATTGCCGGGCAGAGGTGTTACCTCCCCCATCCCCCTCCCGGCTCAGGTGACAGGCTCTCAGGTCTCCCACCCCCAGTGAAACTCCCCTGCCACATTCCCAGGTCAACACTCCCCCCTCCCTGCTGCGTCACAGGTAGCAAGTGGGTTGCCCATGGGACATAGGCCCAGCTACCCACAGGGAGCCCTGACAACACTACGCCCCACAGGGCGCCGGGGAGGCAGCTGGCTGGGCTGGGCTGAAAGCTCCTGGGGGCAGGGCCCCTCCAGAGCTGGGTGTGAGGGACCCAGGCTCCAGGGGTAGGTTCTGTGTTTTTGTTCTGCGTCTGGGCAGCAGCGAGCCCAAGGGGGTCCTGGGCACGACCGTCTCCTCGACCCTGCGGTAATACAGCAATAATAATAGTTCTGGCTGGGGAGGGGAAGAGAGGGAGGCTAGCGAGTGTGGACGCAGCGCAGCCAGGAGGGGTTTATCCCCAGTGTGGACGCAGCGCAGCCAGGAGGGGTTTATCCCCAGTGTGGACGCAGCGCAGCCAGGAGGGGTTTATCCCCAGCGTGGACGCAGCGCAGCCAGGAGGGGTTTATCCCCAGCGTGGACGCAGCGCAGCCAGGAGGGGTTTATCCCCAGCGTGGACGCAGCGCAGCCAGGAGGGGTTTATCCCCAGCGTGGACGCAGCGCAGCCAGGAGGGGTTTATCCCCAGCGTGGACGCAGCGCAGCCAGGAGGGGTTTATCCCCAGCGTGGGGACAGCACCTCCCCGCACGGCCCTTGCCCGGTCCACACATGCCCTGCTCTGCAGAGCGACTGTGTGCACACGGGGGGCTTGGCGACACAGCGGTGTGCTGGGGTGTGGGGTCACACCTCTGACCCCCGGAGCTCTGTGTGTGTCCCGGGGGTGGTGTCACACCTAACTGCAGAGCTCTGCTGGGATAAGCGTTAAGTGTAGACCAGGCCACAGGCAGGGTTCGGGGGGACCATCCATGGGAGGCTGGGACGTGGGCCCATTACTCTCCAGGGGGCTCCAGCTCTAATGCAGCCCCAGGGTGGGGGGACTGGCAGCTCAGTGGGGTGAGGAATGGGACACGCGGCCTTTCCCATTAGGGTGCACTGGCTCCAATCCAGCCCCAGGGCAGGGGAGGGGCTGGGCTGGCTGAAGGAGGTGGGCAAGGGGCACGGGGCCTTTACCCTCCTGCAGTTCCAGCTCCACTCTGATGTTAGTGACCAGAATTCCTCCCCACGGGGCCTGGTCTGTGCCCTTGATATGTAGCGTTGCTCCGTGTCCCCTGCCCAAACCTGGCCTCCCCCAATGGCACCACCTTCCCCCCTCCGTCTAACGCGCTGCATGTTCACACTGCGCACGTCAGGATGGGATGGGAGGTGGAGGGTGGGATGGAGTGGGAATTTTCTGTAATATTTTGTATGAATACTGTATGTGCCTCAGTTTCCCCTACATGCTGCATTGTTCGTTAGGTGGGAGGAAACGGCTGTTTACTCTTTGCAGAGGCCCAGCGAGGCAGGTGTGGCTGGTGCCCGGCTGTCTCGGCTTTGGGGCCCAGGTTCATGTAGCAAAGCCAAACACGGCAACGTTTGCCACCTAGCACCCAACAAATGATCCTGATCGTGTCGACTTCCTGCCTCTCAGCAAGGGAGCTGCGCCCCATTCCCCTGGCCAAGAGCACGGCCTGAGGAGGGGCCAGGTGGGGGGTGAGCTCACCCGGGAACGAGAGACAAAGAGGGGACAGGGGACAAAGAGGCCCAGAGCTGGAGCCAAGGGGTCCACACAGCTTGGCTGGGACTGGGAGACCCCCCAAAGGAACTCTGCTGTACCCCAGTTCTCTGTGCTGGCCTGAGGGCTTCCTATGCCGTGTGCTAGTCACCTAATAAACCTGCCTGCTTTGACAAGGCTGCCTGAGTCCTTGCACATTCTGGGGGGGCCATCGCCCCCTTTGGGGTACACATCTCTCGGAGGTGTCCAGCCCAGGAGGACTCGCTGAAGGATGCTCACAGTGTGATGCCGGGGTGCTAACGGCTCCGAGGTTTGACCCAAGGGGGCAGGGAAGCCACGTGGCTCCCCTGACGGCAGAGCGGGACCCGGGGGGTGAAGGGGGGTCTGACACTCCAAACAGGTCCCCCAGACCCAGGTCCAAGGCTGGGCCAAGGCACCAAACCTGGGGAGCTGTGACAGGGCCCTTTGGGGGGTTGGGACTCAGAACTTCTGCCAGCCCCGAACCTTCCACTGGGAATAATTCACACAGACCCATCCGCCCAATCCCCCCAGACACACGTCCTCCCCCGCCCCCAGCAGAAAGGGGTTTGGGCACCAGGCCCTAGGGAAGGGGCTGGAGCGCCCCAGGTCCTTTGCCATGTGTCCTGCTTTGCTGGCATCTGGGCTGTGGGGTAGCGTTGCCCCCGGACGGCCATGGGGCCATTGTAGGTGCCGGGCGAGTCCGGCAGCCTGACCGCAGTCTGTCCCCTAGCAGGGAGAAGTATGGAAACGAGCCTTCCGGGCTGGTGCTCGGAGCTGGGCAGAGAAGGTCTCAGGCTGGGGGGTCCCGACGACTTTCCAGATCTCTCCCTCCTGAGCCGCGATGGGAGCGGGTCGGATCCTGGGGGCCGGGAGCCGCTGGGCTGGGGCTCTGCTCGTGACACTGACGGTGCTGAGAACCCACCTGGCTCATTGCTCACTGCAACCCTGTGCAGAGCCCCGTCCTGGGTGGCTGCTGGGTGTATCAGGGGATGGGACCCCACAGGCCATTGGGGACCCCATTCTGGGTCGGTGCTAGGTGTATTGGGAGGGGCTGGATCCCACCCAGCCTGGGGAGCCCAGTCCCAGCAGGCGCTGGGTGTAACGGGGGAAGAGGAGGTTGGACCCACATGCCGCTGGGGGCTCCGTGCTGGGCAGACGCTGAGTATGTCGGGGGATTGGACCCCACAAGCTCTGGGCACCCTCTGCCTTTCCCTGTGTACCCCCTACTCGGGGTCCCACCTGCCCCCCACTCTCCTCGTCTCTCCCATTCTTTCCCCGGTGTCCCCTCCATCCACGGGTGCTCAGTGTTACTGTCATTCTCCTCTCTCATCCCACATCTCCCTGCTCTCTCCTCAGGCTGCCCCACATCCTGGGAGGGTGGCTGCGGGGGAGAGCTTTCCTTGCTGCTCTAGGGGCCCCCGGCTGTTCCCCACCGGGCCGCTGAGCTATAAGTCCCAGGACAGGTGGGTCCTTGAGCTAAGGGGTCTCCCCTCCCCGGAGCATTTCCTGTGTCAGCACAATGCTGTCCATAGCCTGAGCACTCCTCAGCAACCCTACAATAACACCCCAGCCTGTCCACCGCCCAGCGCTCCCCTGCGACCCTACAATAACACCCCAGCCCGTCCACCGCCCAGCGCTCCCCAGCGACCCTACAATAACACCCCAGCCCGTCCACCGCCCAGCGCTCCCCAGCGACCCTACAATAACACCCCAGCCCGTCCACGGCCCAGCGCTCCCCAGCGACCCTACAATAACACCCCAGCCCGTCCACCGCCCAGCGCTCCCCAGCGACCCTACAATAACACCCCAGCCCGTCCACCGCCCAGCGCTCCCCTGCGACCCTACAATAACACCCCAGCCCGTCCACCGCCCAGCGCTCCCCAGCGACCCTACAATAACACCCCAGCCCGTCCACGGCCCAGCGCTCCCCTGCGACCCTACAATAACACCCCAGCCCGTCCACCGCCCAGCGCTCCCCAGCGACCCTACAATAACACCCCAGCCCGTCCACCGCCCAGCGCTCCCCTGCGACCCTACAATAACACCCCAGCCTGTCCACGGCCCAGCGCTCCCCCTGCGACCCTACAATAACACCCCAGCCTGTCCACGGCCCAGCGCTCCCCATGCGACCCTACAATAACACCCCAGCCCGTCCACCGCCCAGCGCTCCCCAGCGACCCTACAATAACACCCCAGCCCGTCCACCGCCCAGCGCTCCCCAGCGACCCTACAATGACAACCCGGCCTGTTCTGAGGGGGAGTGTTGACCTGGGAATGTGGCAGGGGAGTTTCCCTGGGGACCGGAGACCTGAGAGCCTGTCACCTGAGCCAGGAGGGGGGGAGGTAACACCTCTGCCCGGGGGGAAATGGACAGAGGCTGCAGGAGGGAGCCTGCTGGGGGGTTGGTTTCAGTTTCGGGCTGGGTGTGACTTTGTCCATCTCTTGGTGTGGCTCTGGGCTGCTGTTCTACCTGGTAACAGGCTGGTCAGCGCACTCACCACTGCTCTAACCGGCTACACCCCACTCCCCTCCTACACTGGGGTGAGAACCCAGGAGTCCTGGCTCCCAGCCCCCCTGTCCTAACCCACTGGACCCAGCCCCCTCCCAGAAGGTGGTGCCATTGGGGGAGGCCGGGTTTGGGCAGGGGACATGGAGCAACGCTACATATTAAGGGCACAGACCGGGCCCCGTGGGGAGGAATTCCCCCCTCCCCCCTCCCCAGACTAGCCTGCCCCCTGCTCGAACTCACGAGACCCCACTCCCCTCCCAGAGCTCAGGATAGAACCCAGGAGTCCTGAATAGCCCCCACTCCCACCACTCGAGCCCACTCCCCCTCCCCAGCCAGAACTATTATTATTGCTGTATTACCGCAGGGCCGAGGAGCCCGGTCGTGCCCACGACCCCCTTGGGCTCGCTGCTGCCCAGACGCAGAACAAAAACACAGAACCTACCCCTGGAGCCCGGGTCCCTCGCACCCAGCTCTGGAGGGGCCCTGCCCCCAGGAGCTCTCAGCCCAGCCCAGCCAGCTGCCTCCCCGGCGCCCTGGGGGGCGTAGTGTTGTCAGGGCTCCCTGTGGGTAGCTGGCCTATGTCCCATGGGCAACCCACTTGCTACCCAGGCACCCCAGCCCAGCCTGGACACCCTGACAGGACCCTTCTGGTTCCCATGCCCCCACCCACACCCACCGCCTTGGTGTATGTAGCCGTGTCTGACCCCTGCACCCAGGCCCTGGCTCCTACAGCCCCTGGTGGGACCCGCTGGGCAGCCCCTCCCTGAAGGGTTTATTGAATGGCACAGGCCAGCGCCGGCTCCATGCGGCTCCTGGATCCCAGCGATCCCACAGCTCCCCCAAGTGTCTGTGACGAAGTGGGACTATTCTTAATGTTTCCTCTGAATAGTGTGGGGGTGCCTCAGTTTCCCCTAGGCAGTTCTTAAGTATCTAGGGGGTGGGGTAAGGGTGTATGATCATTGCAGAGCCCTAGAGGGCAGGTGTGTGCAGGGGTCTGGACACAGAGAATGGCCGACACCCTGTTTCCTGGCAACTAATGGCCTGGGCCCTCCCCCCCTGCAAGGTGAGAGCTAAAGGGTTGGAGAACAAAGGAATCAGGTGACCTCCTGGCCCAGGAAAGGAACAAAGCCCAGAGGAGGAGGGGCTGGAGGGGGTTTCAGTTTGGGGCTGGCTGGGACATGGAGTGAAGTGCAGACGTGGTTATCTGGCTCACTGCCCCCCAGAATGGACCCAGCTGAGGGGTCCCGTTCTCTGCACCTGCAAGCTCTGTTTTAGACCATGTTCCTGTCGTCTAATAAACCTTCTGTTTTACTGGCTGGCTGAGAGTCACGTCTGACTGCGAAGTTGGGGTGCAGGACCCTCTGGCTTCCCCAGGAGCACCGCCTGAGCGGACTCGCTGGGGGAAGCGCACGGAGAGGCAGAGGATGCTGAATGCTCCGAGGTCAGACCCAGGAAGGTGGAAGCTGGGTGAGCTGTGTGTCCTGAAGACAGGCTGCTCACAGAAAGGCGACTACCCCAGAGTCCTGACTGGCTTCATGGGGAGCAGTTCCAGAGCATCGCCCAGGGACTCCGTGACAACTGGTGGCAGCGGTGGGATGTACTGCACCCCGTGGATGGCGCTTCCTGCAGTAAGTGACTGGGGAGCAGTAACACGAAGGGGGATTGCCGAGGACCAGGCCTGCTGAAGGCTCAGAGAGGAGCGGTTTCGGGGGGCGGTTAACCCCTGGGAGTGTGTGACCAGCGAGAAGGACTGTGCAGTAACAGGGTTCCCCTGGGGATTGCAGCGAGCAGTCCAAGGGGCGGAGGAGTCTGCAGCTCGACCCTGGCAAAGAGGTGGTGACCTCGAGAAGGGCTGGCACACTAGGGGTTCTCCCTGGAAACCGTGGGGAGCTGAGAACACACGGGCCTGTGAGTCCACAACAACTTGGGAGGAGCGGAGTGATGGCCTGTCACTGTCTCCTTAAGAAGGACATTGTAACCCTGTGCAAAAAGAGAGGGTTGAGCGTTGGAAAGTTCACCAAAGCAGAGTTAATCGTGCAGCTGGAGGAGGATGACCGCTCTAAGGAACAGATTCCTGACCCCAACTGGGGCTATAGCAGGATCTGGGAGCAGCTGAAGCGGGAGCCAGGCATCCCCAAGACTCCTGTCCCCGACCAGACGAGGGTCTTCACGATCGGGTTCCCCATCGGGGGGATCGAGACGGACGGGATTGGAGCTGAGTCTGAGAGAGCAAGAGGACTGTGGGGGACAGCGAGAGCCCGAGAAAGAGCTGCAGAAGCAGCAGCAGCATGAACTGGCGGTGGGGGAGCGGAGAGGCCTAGGGGACCTCCCCGGGGTGAGTGGGGATAGACCCCGGGGGGCCAGTTCCGCAGGGAACCTCGAGACTAAATTGCTGCCCCTGGTTAAGGAGGGGGGGGTGTGGATGCCCACCTCACTGCCTTTGAGCAGGCTGGCGATTTGAACCAAGGGGACCCTGCGGAAAAGCCCCGGTGTCTAGCTCCCTTGCTGGGTCCCAAGGCCATAGACTCCGTCAGCCAGATAGTTGGGGATGTGGACAGGCTCCCACTCCTGACCCCAACCTATATGTCTGTGTGGAGTTTCCTGGGGCCAGGCCCCTCGGACCTCCAGTGGGAGCAGAAGGTGATG